GCCGAGTTTATTGAAGATTAAAAACCAATCGAAACGAAAGCTAAGGAAAATAATGTAGTGTTGAAAATGTTTTTGAAGGCAGTAAAGGCACTTCTTAAAGCTTTCGCATAGAGGGAAAGGCGTACATCAAGGTTGTCAGACAAGCATCAAGAACTCATAATCATAGCCTGCTCCTAATATCTAATTTTCCACCAGGCAAGAAGGCATAACACCGTAATTTGCCTAACAGAATAATATGAGTTGGTCTTCAAATTTGATTTGTCTACCAAATCTAGAGCAAGCTTAGTCAACTTGTTACAGTTGGTATGAAGTGCTCAGGCACACTTTCAGGGATACTTGCAGTGAGAAGCCTCATACATCTTACCTGTCTACCGGGAGAAATATTTGGTACAAACAGCACTGTTCCTATCCCATAACATTCCTTGTTCACATAGTGATGTTGGTTGAGACATTGTTTGCTCATAACCTTTTTGCTTGTTATTCGATAAGATAGCTCAGAAAAGCCTTAAAAGCGTGAATTTAGGAGTGATATAGTAAGGTTCTTGAATGTAAGCTTCAGTAAATTCTACGGCGATACTTCAAAGGCCTGTCTCAACCCGGAAGTGTATCACGTAGTCTTCACGATTAATCATGTTGGCCTTATTTCATTGCGCTTTGGCCTAATATTTCACTAATGTCAACATTAACATTCAGCATGAACCCATCATCTCTAAATATCAATAGTGCTTATATTCTAAGTATACATACAGGCTACTGCATGAAGAAGGCACTGCTTCTGCGTCCTGCAGTAGCCTTAGATCAGTGGTTCCGAGCAGCGCTCTGCGCAAGTGGTTTGTACCAGACACCGTAATCACGGACAAGTTAAAAAAAAGGACTATGCAGAAGGTACGTGCATATTTTTGATCTTGTTCCGTTCTAGAGATGGCGTCGTTGCCAACATGCTTTGAAACAAAGATAATGTTATTCAATTGGATTGCGGTTCACAACACATTGCTGAGAGAGTAGGATCAATAGTAGGACCCAATTCTATACTAGCACACGTCACGAAATGTGCAAAATCTGCAAAAGTTATTTGATAAAATGATCACTGTTGTAAAATGATTGACAGGCATGGTTTGGTACTGTGATTGTACAGTCGAGTAGATTTCCTGCTTAATATAGTGTCCCTGCAGACGCGACAACGCTGGGACGTCAATAATTGCCTTGCGAGTTCCCGAGCTAGTGTTTTCCAGTGTTTTCTTTGCTTATTCTATGTTTTTAGGTGATTCGTTGGTGATGAAGAAGAAAAGGGTAAGTTAGAGAGTAGTTTCTGTTTTCTGAGAAGTTCTATCATCGCATATTCACAGATATCCACGTGGAAGCATTTCGCGTCAGCTTTTTGTTTATTTTTTTGTCATTTCCTTTTCTTCTGTCACTTCTTCTTTCGAACCTTCGTCTTATGAGGCGCTTCTTTGAACGCTAGTTGGCTTGTCTTGCAGCAACTTCGGCTTTCACCCATAAGAAATGATATTTTAATCAAGTACTTCATGTGATAAAGACAATAGGTCAATCGTAAAAACCCACTAGCGTTAAAAGAAGTACTTCACAAGAAGAAAGAGACATGAAGTAACAAAAAAATAGACAAGAAGCTGACGCGAACTGCTTCCACGCGGATATCTGCGAATATGCGATGATAGAATTTCTCAAGAAACAGAAATACTCTCTAACTTACCCTTTTCTTCTTTATAAGCAACGAATCACCTAAAAACATAGAATAAGCAAAGAAAACACTGGAAAACACTAGCTCGGGAACTCGCAAGGCAATTATTGACGCCCCAGCGTTGTCGCGTCTGCAGGGACACTATATTAAGCAGGAAATCTACTCGACTGTATACAGGGTGTCCCAAAAAAAATCTGAACACTGTTTGATCATTGATAACTCCCTTGCTTTCATGTCTTTCGCCGAGCTTCAGCTCCATTTTGTAGAGCGAGCTTCAACTTAGGCCCGTATGCACGTACGTCCCCGCTGGGGAGGGGAGGGGAACTGGATCCCCAGGGGAACGATCCCCTCCGCCGAACCCCGCCATGACAGAGGGGAGGGGAGCGATCCCCTCCCCTGCACCTAGGCGGGGATGGTGTGAATGGTTTCAGAGGTATTGATCGAGCGAACCCCAGTGCATACGGGGTTCGAATGGGGGAGGGGATCCCTTCCCTTCCCCCACTCGAACCCCGTATGCGCGAATTCAACTCATTAACGCGGGGGAGGGGATCGACATCCCCTGCAACGAAGTAGGGGTTCGATGGTGTAGATCATGCCAGAGACGCGGATATTCCGGTTTTGCTCAGTCATTACCAAGCATTTCGTTCATTTTGATGGAGGATTTTCTTTGAAAGCCGGGTTCTTCTCTCAGCGACCTGTGGCTTGCAATTTGTCTTTCTTTTCTATATTCGCCTCTTAAGAAGAAATCCGAGCAACAATAGCTGCCAATTTCGATTATTTGTAGGAGTTCTTGATCATTCAGGAAATTTGCGCATTTTTCATATAACATAATAGTTTTAACTATATAGGCTGAGTAAACACACTGTAACTTTCATATTTCATGACATATTGCCATTATCTTGTTATTTTAACATAAGCTGCCTTGAAAAAATCTAGAAAGTAGCATATTTGCCTATTTCTGAGTAGAAATCCCCTGGGGAGTGATCCCCTCCCCAGCGTTCCCCTTGTGCATAGCAGGGATGGCTGCTGGGGATCATTCCCCTGGGATAAAGGACGATATGCAGCTGATAGTTACAGCGTTTATGGAGAGCTGGCACAATTTGCAGCTTCTGTTATGTGTTAGAATACTGCTTTGAGTGTCCGCGCGGCACCCCCCCCCCCCTTTTCGGCAGCATAACGTCTTCTACCCATTCCCTTGCAGAGACACATCAACTTCTATAGTTCAATATTTTTACGCTGAAATGGAGCAGCATGAACGAAAGTGGGCAGCATCCAAGAAAGCAGGAACATAATGGGAGTAAAAAAATTCATTTTTAGCGCCCCGAGCGCAGTCACTGCATACGCGCATTCCGCAACCCTAAATTAATTAAAGTGAGGAGATGAAGATGAGTTGTAGTCAAAATATGAAATAAGAAAGAGTTTTTCATAGAAAATTCGAAAGCAAGATGATTTCCCCGCTTGATCCCCTCTTGTGCATAAGAGGGTTCACTTCCCCTCCCCACAGGGGATCCCTTGAACGATATTGGTTGTTGTGCATACGGGGGTTCGCGCGGGGAGGGGAGGGGATCCCCAGCGGGGATCATTTCAATGGTTAAGCGCACATCCCCTCCCCGCGGGGATGTACGTGCATACGGGCCTTAGTTACAGTATGGAGCGAATCACCAATCACTCTTCATTAATGTAGGATTACGGTAGGAACTTCGACAAGGATTTTAGGCCGTTGGAGGCCATATTCTGCCTAGGAACAAAACCAAAAAAGCCAAAAATTCTTTGGTAATGGGTGCCGATGATTTCGATTATGAAATTTCCGCTTCTTTCCAAAGTTATCCCAAGGAGACCGTAATGAGTGAATCCTCACATTTGTCAGAAATGTAATTACACCGTCAAAAAAGCTGAAAACACTCGTAAAAAGTTTCATATTAGAAACAACAAGCACGAAAACCCTAGTACACAATTTTTCAGATTTTTTGAAAAAAAATTTTGTCAGATGGCATATTTCGCCGCGATTCCACATGCTGAAAGGTCTCACCGTAACCCTACAGTAACGAAGAGCGATCGGTGATTCGCTCCACACTGTAAATCTAAGTTGAACCTCACTCTACAGAATGGTACCTTAGGCTCGGCGAAAAGTATGAAAGCAAGGGATTTATAAACGATCAAACAGTGTTCACATTTTTTTGGGACACTCTGCATACGCAGTGTGAATATCAAGCAAAAGTAATAAATTTGTGAACTCATACGTGAATGATAAGGAGAATGATGCAAAGTTTTTTTTGAAAGGTTGCTCAAGAAAAAGAAAGCTCGAACGAAAAATTAGGAGTGGAAAGGCTCTTACAGGACCCCGTTGCACTGATGCACAGGATTTCCAGAATATGGGAGCTGTCTTGGTGGTCTTAAAGAATAATAAGTGGAGTCGTGCACCCATATACCATTAGGGCCTGTGCGCCTCAAAGGCAGCGTCCCGGCAAAATGATGGCTACTGGGATTACGGCATCGCAACGGCATACCTTCCAACCAAATTATTAATGAAGTCTGGAGCGAAAAAGGACGTCTGGAAAGCCTCAAAATCCACTCCAAAACTCTTCCAGACCTCGCTCCTTGTTCCGGACCCTGCCCAGTATTTCCCAGCTAAAGCGGACCTTTAAATCCTCGAGAATAGTCCGTTTTCGCCATTTTCAAGTGCTGCAAAGCCGAGATATAGATTCAGGATGGCAAGAAGGCCCCAAAAAGGTGGAAAACAGGAAATCGAGATTTTGCCAGGACACTGCCTTTAAGATGGGTTTTTGTTTGCGAGCAAGAAACAGAAAATGCAAACTGGTCAAATACACGGACAGATAAGTCTCCTGCCCCTCACCAGTCATTTTCACATACTGATCTTACTGGAACACTTTGATTCGTACGGATAATGACGACAAGACTTTGCTTCCCCTCGCGACGCGCCTTGTTTCGAAAAAGAAACTTTGGCATTTCTTGCCTTTTCCGTGACTATGTTAGTTATCTAAATATTGATCAATTCGGGTGTAGGTGAAAATGAATTCAACGCATAAAATAGTTGCAGCACTTCACTCGTATTTATCTACCTTTGCAAAGTTTCAGATTATTCTTGAACTAACGCTTACAAAATGCAAGCACCCGGAGCACGTAAGAAAATCATATCGAATAACAAATACATCAACGTCTCTTATCTTACTTAATTAAACTTTATTTCATTTCGCTGAGCAGAAAATTGCAATTTGGTAGCATGATTGCGATAACATCTTTTATATGTTCATTGAGATCAGCAATTTCGTAAGACGTGGATCCTTGAGGACGTCGTGGTAGACATATCACCTGCAATAACGATATTATTACGTGCATAGGCTGGCAATTAGGGAAGAATTGATACGTTACAGTTCCATCACATGGAGTAATCTTACAGCCTTTGGTTTGGCTATTATGGTGATACGGCCAACTGCAGGCGGTGATTTTGGATGACTGCGGCCGTAAATCAAAGGTTTCTGTTGGACTGCTGTGAACAACCATTTGTTTGTCGTGGTACATTCACGTACAAAACATTTAAGTCCTAGTATAGGCCATACCATTGTTTACGATTCGACTCACGTCTCCTCTTTTATAGTGCACCCTCGCCACTTATCATCTGCCCTCTCTTCAAATCTTGTGCTGTATTTGGTGGACACAGCAGCACTGAATTCTGTGCGCAACTAGCCTATACAGTTTGTCTTACCCAAACGTTTTGAAGGTTGACATTACGTGCAATCGCATCGCTACGATTTTAAGTGAACTCAGCTTGCTAAAGTCGTGGTAGAGCCTTAACTCTTTTCTAATCGCTCTTTTCAATTCCTCTAGCAATGCTTTGCACGCGCACATGAAGCGCAAACCTCAAGCACCGCAATCTCATGCTAACGTGCCCCGATTTGATACGTATACAACTACTTCGAATTGCATTGCCAAAAATGGTTAACTTGCTCTAAAGGTAGGCGCCAGACTCAACCGGTTAGCTGCTTCGGCAGGAACGACGAAATAACACTGATGTCATTTGGCGTCACGTTAGACGGAAATCGAATTGGCGTCTGCCATGTTCGCAACACCAGTAGTTTCAAGGAGATGATGAAAAGGCCTCGCAGAATGAACGGTGGTATAAAGGTCTTACCAGTGAAACAAATTCTGTTGTAACGAAAATGGGGACGCCGATTTGATTTCTCTCCAGTGTGACATCAAATGACAGAGTTGCACCGCATCCTGCTGAATCGGCTAAGCCTGGCGCCTAAACCGCGAATTTGCTTGTTACAATTCTACACGCACAATTTTGCTGAACACGCATTCATGCACTGCAAGGTGGAGGTTGGAGAGGACTTTGTATTAGGGGATGCACAAATGTTGCTTCCGGATGCCATGGTCTTGCATCACTTTAGCTCTTTGGGGGAGTGCAGTAAGTAAGGTCCTGGGGCCATTAACATGTTCTAGTTTAATTCATAGGTATTGATATTGGTGACTGTGGCTCTCTCTCTCTCTCTGCAAAATAGGCAAGCGCAGATCGGTCAACTCCCTATTTGCCTTGGAATACCTGCAGACTTGGCATTTGTCTAGCCAATTGAAATTGTGCATTTGTAAAATTGCAACATCGCAAACCTGTAACCCAATATGGCTCGCAAGGAAAGTGTTTTTGCTGAGTAGGGCCTCTCCCAAAAAAATTCACAACTTGGAAAAACTAACGTAAGCCCATGCCTTCGTCATATGCTGTGCGCCTCTGCACACCAACTTTAGCCTTTTTACAGAACAAGCATGCAAAATCTAGTCAAAATCAAATGTTACGCCCTTTGTCTCTCAGATAGCGCTTATCTTATATATAAAGCTGAATGTCTGTTTGTCTGTATGCATGTCTGTCTGTGTCTGTACGTATGTTCCGGATAAAAAATTCCATTTCTGAACCGATCGGGACCAAACTTAGCAAACATACACTTCGGGCCCCAGCGGGTGTCACAGTCCACTTTTCGTTATCGATCGATATCGATTTTATCGATTTTCTGCAAAATTTGAGCTACGGGGCTGGGAGTTGGCACAGGGGGGTGATCAGCATGCTCGATTACGCCCTTCTGCCAAATTCCAGCCCCCTAGCTCAAATTTTGCAGAAAATCGATAAAATCGACATCGATCGATAACGAAAAGTGGACTGTGACACCCGCCGGGGCCCGAGGTGTATGTTTGCCAAGTTTGGTCCGGATCGGTTAAGAAATGGAATTTTCTATTCGGAACATACGGCGGAGCCGGGTAAGCCAGCTAGTAAGTATATTAGCCCAAAAGTATCCATTGCTTAGAATGTCTTCGTCCTTATGTCGCAACTACACATTTCCAATTGATTTTGTTTCACTTGCGGATCAGTTTTTCGCACAAAATGCTTAAAAGTTATCATCGTCTAGAAAATCTCAGCAGTTGTCGAATACAAAATTATTTTTAGCGTCGCCGCCTACAGTGTAAGAGAGCTTAGAAAAAACCGGAATGAACATACTTTTTCGATGAATTGCGGGTCGATCAGAAACTTCAGCAGAGTTCACTCATAGGTACGACCAGCACGCCGCTTTCATCATATATCACTCTTCTACCTTATCAAAGAAGCCCTTTTCATAGCGTAGACCAACATGGACAGTAATCACGAGCGAATTGATACTGATTTGCTCAAAAGACTCTCTTCTAACTGTGCTGTTAGGGATGTGATTGCATGAAGTGAGGACCAAGAGAAATATTAGGTTGAACCGAAAGTTCGTTCGCACCATTTTCAAAAATTCATAACTTCTGATTTTTCCAACCGATATGACTGCTTTAATTTTCTTTTGAAAGAGTAAATCATGCTCTTTATAATGTCACCTTAGCTGCTTAGCATCTCTTGCATAGATAGGAGCGGTAGAAGAAAATTTGTCAAAAATCGAATTTTCTGTGTAGGGTCAAAAAAAAATCGGAGACTTGCAACAAAAATCGAAGCAGTCGGTATTGTAGGTTCTTTCACCAGTTCTCTCTAGCTGTGCAAAGTTTGCGCCGATTGAGTGTCTCTATGGAAAGTTATGATTTTCAAGCAAGCAATACAAAAGGGCGAGTTTGAATTATTTTGGCATTTTCCAGGAAAATCGTAACTTTTCATAGAGACGCTCAATCGGCGCAAACTTTGCACAGCTAGAGAGAACTGGTGAAAGAACCTACAATACCGACTGCTTCGATTTTTGTTGCAAGTCTCCGATTTTTTATGACCATACACAGAAAATTCGAATTTTGACAAATTTTCTACGGCTCCTATCTATGCAACAGATGATCATTTAGTAAGCAACTAAGAGGATAAAGAGCATGACTTACTCTTTCATACAAAAATAAAAGCGGTCAAATCCGTTAGAAAAATCAGAAGTTATGAATTTTTGAAAATGGTGCGAACGAACTTTCGGTTTAACCTAATATAATTTCTGATTGTCGTGCGCAGCACCTTTCGCTTGGCCTGCCTAACACTTTTGATGCTTTTTGATCGACATGTTATCAAAGGCACGGAAACTTTGGCATCAACTTTGGTTCCAATCTGTTGGAGCCACAGTCTTGCCATAAAGTATGATAAAGTACTTTTACAGCACGATAAAAAAGAGTTTGTCTTTTGTAAATATGTGCGTAATTGATTAATAACAAAAACTCACAGTAACGCGCGGGTTTTTTCGAGATCTTCCTTCACTTTCTGCATCAGGAGCTCCGTGCTGTTATCTCGGTTATCTAATACAATTGTGGCATTTTCAGCTCTGCAAAATAATATCATAGTCTGAAGATCACGAATACAGTCAAAGATTATCATTATCTCTTTCAAAAGGTGCAATGACTTTCTACGAAAATTAAAAACGGTGTTAAAAGCATTTAAATGGGAATGTGAAATTGTTCTTTGTTTTAATTTTGTAATTTCACAGTCAACGGGACAGCAGTATCCCGGGTCAGGGCCCGACACAGTGGTACCCGGTCAAGCTTTCGTTTTCAAAAGGAAGATATGCCACAGGCCCGTAGTAAATCCTTATTCATCTCAGCTGACCTAAGATTATTTAGTCAAAAGAACTTACTAGGGTGAAACTAAGACCGCACACCTTCCCGGTGCTTTAGGGTGGTCAGTCGAAGAGTCAGAAGACCGTCCGGCTAAGTGCACGGACAGAACGTGATGCCCCGTAGGTAAGAGCGGTTCTAGGGTGAACCGAGGAAGAGTGCGTGCAAACGAGGAGGATGAGACAAAATTCCAGTAAGTTACTCGTGAGTGTCTTACGTGACAGTTTAGTTGACGTACTGTTGCGGTACAACAACGCGTAAAACTGCACAATACCGAGGCCCAAAGAGGAGAGGATCAATAAGCTGACGACAAACAAGAAAGTAGCTTTTTCTGTTTGCACAACTTGTTCTTTTTTTCAAAGCAGCTTAAAACGAGAATCCATTTAATTCATTCGATTTATGTTCCAATTCTTCCAACTTTTGATGAAGTTTTCGTTGAAAAAAATCGTAGCTTCCGTCCATTCATTTGCTAAGTTAATTTCTTGGTAGCGGCCATCATCGCTTCTGTTCAATAGTGGCCGCCATCGAGGATTGCTTGCCGATGCAGCAGATACCGCCACTAGCTGGCCTCGAACCATGGTCGTGCGGGCTGAGTCGCAATCACCGAGGCGTTTGATCAAAGCTGAACAAACGGTGTAGGTGTTTCCTCTTTGAAAACATGCAAGATTTCTGTCTAGGAAGCGATATGCATCCAAATCAATAGCTCATTGGATGCCGGACTAAGGCGCCTACGTTCAACACAGGCTCCTCCCCCCCCCCTCCCCCCTCTCTCTCCCCCCCTCCCCTCCCCCCCGCCGAGTTGCTTTGAACAGGGATTTACTACGGGCCACATAAAGATACAGCAAAATCGAACGTTATATAAGTTGTCCATGAAAGTTCCTCAAGTTGGTGTGACGTGCTTGTGAGAGATCTCAAATAATGACTGAGAAATTTGTAAACAGTTATCCAGGACTCGGCACAGCTGGCACCGGCTCAAGCTGGATATAGTTTTTAGGGCGGAAAGCAAGGGGGATGTCGTTTTTCCGGGGTCCAAGCGGAGAAGAGCCGCAAGAATGCCGCAGGCATGCTGTCCATCAAACAAACAAAGGCGTTGTTTTCAGCCAAATCGCGATAGTATGACACCAAATTTGGTGAGTGCATGCGTGTTGGGGGACCTGAACTATGGCTCAAATATTTATGAAAACTTATGTGAATGAAAGTTGTGATGAACTTTATTCTGAATTAGCTAGCACCGTGCCAGCTGGGTGCCAGCTGAGCTGGCACCGACACTTCGCTCACATAAGTTTTCATACTTTTTTGCATAAAATGTACAGTCGATTCATTTCATATGATCATCTGTGCCACTGCACACACAGTCCACCTTTGGCGCCCTCATTCTGGATTTGCAATTGCAGAAACGCAAGAGACTCGGCGATTGTTATCCATTACACGAATTTGAGGTGATTAGTACCTAGAAAGCAAAGAAATATAAATAAACACATTGAAAACACGTCCCTGAAGAGGTGTTTCCTTAAAAAATCCAGGATGAGAACGCCAAAGGTGGACTGTGTATGCAATAACACACATGATCATATGAAATGAATCGACTGTATCTACACTGTAAAAGTTTACATACAGAGAAGAAACAATTTCATGTTTTCTTTTCAGTGTTTTATAGCCATTTGAAAATTACTCGATCTGCTCTGCAGTCCAGAAATCGGCTTTTCTGCTTCTCAAGATGTGATTCAGCTACTTAAAAAGCTCAGAAGCTTTGGAAAGTTGTTCCATGAAATCAGCATGCATGAAAACCTTACTACATACTTTTACATAATCTAAAAATAATAACGGATGTTCAAAGCAGGTCAAAGGGGACTCCGTACGAAATTTCCAAGATAAAACGGGACTTCGCTTTGAAATTTTTCTGGTGCCAGCTCGTCCCGAGCCCTGCACTTATCCAAATGAAAGCCGTAGCAAATTTTTTCCAAACTGGTTAGAATCGATCCACTGCTTACCTGCCGAGACGGTTCATCGCTGTCATTTGCTTTCATACCAGCACAAGACGGTTTCATACTTTTCCTTTGATTTTTATTTCCCTTGGGTTGTTAATATCATCAATATAATTTCTCCTACGTTAGCATACCGAAATCGAAACTCCTTGCTCACCTAATAATCAAGGAGCAATAACCGAGATTTAGAATGTTGACCTAATGAGGCAACTATAAAGTGGAGAACAATTTCCCTCTCGAATTCGAGGACACATGTCATTTCTCAAAGTTTTCTATCTGCTCATTATTCCTTCCCACGCCTTACTGCCTTGATCCTCCGCCTCAAACAGCAAACACATAGAACATCATACGATCGATTTACATAAAATCGAGGCAGAGTCAGAAAGTTTTGATGAAGTTGTACATGGCCGATGAACTGGGGTTGTTACAGACAGCGTCTAGGCAAATCTGGACATATGGGGATCTCACATGGACATTAATTTTGGAACCCTAACTAAGGCACTACCCGACTGACAGCTCAGATGGTGTTCTAACTGCTGAGATAATCGCCTCCAAACTGAACCCCAGGATCGTATTCGCATTATTTAATGGCGCGACACATCAGTTTCGCGTGGGTCTTCGCGCGAAACTGATATGCCGCGCCATTAATCCATGCGAATACGATCTTGGGGTCCAGTTGGGGTAGGGGGGGGGGGGCACATCTCAGCCGTTAGTGAGTCATTTGCGCTGGCGCTTGGGCCATGCTTTGGATAGGGCCCCAAGATTACTTTCCAGTTAGAATACCCATAGGTACAGGCATGCCTGGACGCTGCCTATAACTAAGTTTTGCAGCTTCCTTCATATCATTTCTCGCTTTGACTATGGCGCGATCAAACTATGATATTATGTAGATCGCAATGTGAGCTACAAGATAACATAAATTGTTTGATTCATGATGCCGAGATAAAAAAAATTCAAGCGTTTTTCCAAAACTACTGAAATTGGGAATTTCACTTGATTACAGGCTAAGATGAAGCCGTTCGCAACCTCAATTGAACCCAGACCCAAAACTATAGCAGCATTATTGTCATAAGATAGCTCACTAAGCTCTGTAAAAAAGCGATAATAGTTGGAGATTGGCACTCTCGGAAAGCTGAACATCGCAGCTGAACGCAACATTGCTGCTAGCACCCGTTTATAACTAGTGAGCGAAACCTCGGAATTTGCCGAGATTTGCATTAAGGTAATTCTACATGCTGAACACGACTATTCTATTCAATTGTAATAAAACCAAGTTTTTTTGTGACCTTACCAAAAAGGCATTGTTGACAAATCAAGAATTTTGTGATTAGAGTGAGGGACCACCATAGACCAAGTTTCAGCTGGAACTGTAACAATCGGGACTATCCGTGATTTTCAACGGTTACACGCGTTGCCAGAATTTGGAACAAATTGCTGTACTTGCAAATCAAATTATAGACCAGTAGTAAAGCTCGTTCAGGGAAATCCCCCCTGAGGGGTCATCATATGAGCTCTGTCTGGTGAAATGAGGACCGCCCACTTTCCTCGCTATAAGTATGCAACGTTATCTGATAGGCGAGCTTCAGATCAAGCCCGGCAGAGAGATCAGCTCCCGACCGGGTCCTCGGGATGACATAGCGCAAATACTGTGCTAAACAAGAGACCCAGAGAAAAGTCTCGTAAGTTGCTTGCGAGTAACTTACGAGACACCGCAGCTGACGTTCTTTTGCAGTGCATAACTCTCAAAACTGCACGATTTCGGGGCCTATGCGAGTGAGAATCGATGAACAGCTGAATGCGCGACGAAATCGGAAAAAAAGGGTTTTTTTTGCAATTTCCTTGCAGTTGTTGCTCGTTTTTCTCAAAGAAACACTTCAGATTTTTCGCCAAACGTATTTTCTTGTATGAATGCCAAAATGGTGTGTATTTGTTTTATCTTGTTATTTGCTAATTGAAATCTCTGGCTATTATCGATTTTTTCGACAGCGGCCGCTATCAAACGCCTAGCTACGTAGCAAAAGCGTACCGCTAGCCGCACTCAAACCACGGCCCTGCGCTTGAAACGCGTTAGTCTTATCCACTTGACTGATAATAATGAATACACAATGGCAAAAATTGTTTCACCCTCAAAACCGTCTCAGATAATCGCGGTGGGCAGGCGGCCTTGCGATTTATGGGCGGGCGGGCACAGGAAAAATAGTTCGCTGATTTCTTGCGGTCCGCTTGCAGATATTTGTGAGAATTTCAGCAAAATTTTAGACGAATGCTTGGAGAACAATCGCGGTTTCCTTATAAATTAGCTGAGACACAGTGGCCGCTCTCGCGGACTTTCCGCTAGAATATGCAAAATTTTCGAGGGCCGCACGATCCTTTGTGGAGGACCGCGCAGTCTCCAGGTACTTTCCGCTGAGAGAAAGTACCTCAAACTGAGTAATTAAACCAACGGTGACACCTCTGCCACACACAGTCTTACCTGTGCTCGACGTATGCCCGAAACTGCTTAAAAAGAATCCGAGCGCCTGCTGAAAGTTCTGCCAGCGTTTGCTGAAAGAGATTATTTGACGAGCGCCTGCAGAAAATTCTGTGTTGCTGCCCGCTGGCAGAACGTTAGACAGTAACGGAAGTACCGCCCGCTGAATGTTTGCCCACGCCCCAAAATCCTGCTGACCGCTTGCAGAATAGCGCGAGTTTGCGGACCGCCTACCCCCGGCGATTATCTGAGGCGAATGTCCAGAAAGCGATCTGCTCCAGATCAATCAATCCGCTGACAGTGCGCTAAGGCGCCGTAACGTCAACTTAGTTTCGCCTCAGTCGAGTTGGAATGACGGAGGTTTACTACGGGCCATAGCCTAAACATTCTCAAAGCTTGAGTGCACCACATGAAAAAAAAGGAAAAGATTTGAAAAGTTTCAAAACTTAGTTGACAGCCTAATAAATCTCTGGGATGATCGATTAACATCACTTTTTCATTTAGTAAAAGCCAAGACTTGCTTCTTCCCACTTACATCGCTTTTTGGTCTCAGTGATTCCAAATGACAAAAACAAGTCTTGCAAAAGCGCAATGTTGCGCTGCATCGCAGCCTCGAGCCCAACAAGGGGGACCTTTTTATTCAAGCAAAACGAATTATAAGAGCTACTAACCTTAGTACGGTTGAAGTTGACCAGTATTCTGATGTTGTTGAGGACGGAGTGGAAAACTCTTCTTCTGTTGTCGCTGCAGTTGTGATAGTTGAGTCAGCAAGAGACGTGGTGGAAACATCGTTTGTTGTTAATAACGGCTTCGTCGTAGTGCGAATGAAAAGGGTCGTGTCCCTCATTGATGAAGTCGTTTTAAGATATGTAGTTGTTTTGAAATATGCAGTAGAGGAAGTTGTTTTATAATATGTAGTAGTTTCCCGAGAAGTAGGTTTTGTAAATAACGGAGGCTCGGTAATACTTGGTCGAGTACTGGTAGAAGGAATCTTCCCCAAGGTAGGCTGTCTAGTTCTGATGGAAGACATATCATAGACTGGCTCAGGGATGTTAGCAAAAAGTGACGCATGTGTCCTTGGATAGTAAACATTGTCAGCGCAGTACGATTCCGCCCTGAATACCTTAATCTGATGCAGTTCAAACATTATTTTTGAGGAAAAATCAGATCACTTTTTTGATTCTTTTGAACGTTTTTGGGACTGGGAAGGGGATATCATTTTTGTAGGTCGGAAAATACAAGTAAGGTTACGCTTTTTTAGTAGATTAGGATGATTCGGATAAGGATCAAAGAGGAATTCGTAAATTTTGCGAAAGTCAGGAAAGGGGGGGGGGTTCCCCTTTTTGCATTTTCGAGAATACACTTCGTGCAGAGCCCTGATCCTCATCTTATTACATAAAAAGATGATTTAAGCGAATCAACAGTTGGGAAATACTTACCTAACGCTGCTTTTTTTTCAAATTGATTTTGAAGTGATAAGGTCAGGAATGGTTTTTTACGCTTCTTCACAACAACATCAACATTGCTTATGCGTGGACTGCGAATAAAGGATCTTTCCAGAAAGATCTTCACCTACGACTTAAAAGTGGCTCGGCAGGACTGAACATCTTGGAATTGTGATATAGTAAGTTCGCTTACACCCCAAACATGTTAAGAGAGCAAGGTTCGAGCGCACAGCATGCCAAGAAAACAGGCGCCAAACTCGTGCGCGCAAGCTATTTTAGGCCCGTATTCACGTACATTCCCGCTGGGGAGGGGAGGGGATCTGAGAGGGGATGAGTCATATCTCGCTACTCTACGGGCCGCATGCACTAACATCCCCGCTGGGGAGGGGATCACAGCTTGAAAGAAAGCTTCATATCCTGAAGCTCCAGATATCTGGATTTCACGATGTCTACCTATCAATAAGTATTCCCACCATCTTCCACTGCGAACATATTGAACAGGACCGAGAAGCTGTGCAAGCCGCATTTTCCTGCTTTTTGTATGATCCCCTGGTGATTCCCGAGGGGCGACCGTCTACTCTTTAAAGTCTTTTTTTCTTCAAAGTTGATAAAAACATTCCAAAGTTGTGTTGCTTATCTAATCCAACAGTGCTAAGCATGTTGCTGATAAGAACAAATGATGTTTTGGAGTCATGAAATTTCCGATGAATCATAGGTCGAAAGTTGGGCTAGCGGATATTCAATATCCCAGAAACTCATTTGTTCTCATCAGCAATACGCTTAGCACTGTTGTGTTAGATCAGTGCAGCTTTGAAATGCTTTCATTAATTTTGAAGAAAGAGAAATGACTTCAAAGGATGAACGATCGTCCCCCCGGGATAACCAGGGGATCGTACAAAAAGCTGAGAAATGCGGACTGTACAGCTTCTCGCTCCTGTTCAATATGTTCATGGTGAAGAATAGTAGGAATACTTACGGATAGGTAAACAACGTGAAATTCAGATATATGGAGCTTCAGGATATAAATCCTTTCCGCAGCGGGGATGTTAATGCATGCGGCCCTGGGTATCTTTCTTCTTCCTTCTCTATCTTGCTTATGAGGGTTCTCATACCCTAATGCCTGCGCATAATTGATGTCAGGTAACTGGAATAATTGATCAGATTTCCGCAATCTGTGTGATCCCCTGGGGATCCCCAGGGGATCATCAGGGGATCATCTCTCAATTTCAATGCCATTTATTTTTCTGGAAATTCAATGAAACGCTGTAAAATTGCACTGTTATATACTACGGGACTGCTAAAGATGTTGATAGTAGAAGCAAATAAAATCTCAAGATATCGAAATCTTCGAATCTTCGGTAATCCCTAGATCGCGAGCTAGGGATCACCGAAAATCCCAACTTTCAGATTCCATTTCTTCTGCCGAAAACATGCTTAGCGATGCCATAGCACGTACAGAACAATTTTACAGCGTTTTCATTAACTTCTCAGGAAGATAAATTACTTTGTTGAGAGGTGATCCTCAGGGGACCCCTGGGGATCCCCTGGGGATCACACAGAATAACAAAAAATCTATCTTGTATGGAAGTAACCTGGCATCTATCGTGCGCAGGAATAAGTGTATGAAAAACTTTATAAGCGAGATAGAGAAAGAAGAAAAAAGATACTTACAATTAGAGCAGTGATATATGACGCATCTCCTCTCAGATCCCCTCCCCTCCCCAGCGAGGATCTACGTGCAAACGGGCCTTACACGCACTCGGACAGCTCGCGATATTCCTCTCACCGTCGGAGGTGTCATGCCACAACGTTATGACAAGGGTCCTGCAGCGACTCTGGGTTTTGACCAGGGAGGAACTGTTCCACCGTTCACGTTCACAATGAAGGGCCTTAAGAAATGCTGCTTTTCTTCATTTTCGCTTTCTCTGAGACGAATTTTCGGGATCAGCGTGTCGGATTATCCCAGATAAGAAAAATCTCCAGATCAAGGACCTGCCGAGAGAGTGCCTTCGAACTCCGACGAAGTGCAGGAATATTTTTCAGTGGTAAGTAGGAGATAAGCAGCTTGACTTTTTGTTCAAACCCAAGTCACTGCACACGATGCCGCGAAGAGAAAAATTTGAGTATAGCTTACAATTCAAGTACTTCTCTGATCAGGTTTCCTCTTTTTAGGTATTGTGGTGTGTGTTAAGAGTTAGCGTGATCACAGTAATGAAATTCGCCTATCGAAAAGTACTTGCAAAACCATAACAAACCAATGTTGCATACTCCGTTCAAAATACACGTCATTGTCAGCTGCACGTATTTCCCACGGGGACAAGCGTGTGCTACATTGTGGGTCTTCTGCTCCAAGGCAGACAAAATATTTAGCACCGGGACGCATTCCATTCGGATACCATACCTTGATATAAAATTAAAATAGTCTGTATTTTAGTAGTATAACCGCTAGATTTTGGCACCTCATAGCGATGGTGGTGCGGAGGAGTCCACTCTCCATCGAAAATTCTAGGATACCTTGGGACCATGTCGCGTCCGTGCACAATACGAAACCGGTATGGAACCTATATTTGGCATGTCAAATTCTCGGCTCAACCAAACGGCATCATTGTGAAAGTTGTACTTGAATTAAAGTGAACTCACCAATGCTTCAATTAGGTTTACAAATGACATATCGCCAACACGTGTCGCTCCAAATGTGAGAAGTCTAACTTTTTTCTGGGATATGAGCCGTTTGAAGAGCATCGACAGAACCGACATCTCTGCTTTTGCACCTCCGAGTGAATGGCCAATGAACTAAACCGGCTTACTGTCAATATAACAATGCAGTCACTCACTGAAGTGTCTCACAGATTTTCAGTTCTGCAAACAGAAAACCCTTTACGTGTTTCAATGCTGTTCTATGTTGTATTCTGCTTCTCATTACTTTTGTGCATTTGATCTAGAGACAATTAGTGCTTGATGGAAAAAAAATTTGATAGCAAACCATTCTTACCCATATCTCGTAGTTTCTATAGATGCTCACGAGGTTTCTTAGAGTCTCCTCCATTCCCAATATGTACCAGAGTTTATACCAGCTGTCATATAGGTACCTAAAATATGTTTGAAAAAAGTGCTGTACGTCTTCAAACAACAAGTTCATGAAGCATTCTTTACGAGAAAATCTTAACTTTTCACTTCGATGGTCAACCTTTTCTAATAGCATCTATATTTTTTTCACTACTTTTTTCTTCTTTGGTTTTCTTACAAACCAAATCACCTGTTCACTAATCCATCTGATCCTTCGAACTGCGCCTGCCTGTTTGTGAAGAACTCTGCGTTGAAATGTGTGTAGAACTGAAAAGAGTAAGAAATCTTGTTTACTGTTTTAACCCTGAATATTTTTTGCGACTACGAAGAGTATAACATATGTGATCTAGCAGCGGCTAACGTTATCGGTATTTTTACCTTGTTAAAAAACTCAAATCCAAACTTGGAAGACAAACTACAGGCCGCAGTTGCTTACCTCAAAAAACCCCCCCTCTCTGTATTCAGCTATGGCACGCAAAGCAGCTGTTGACTATTAGGTTGTCCCATAAGTCTTTTTATTTTTGAGTTTTCGGCGTTTATGCTTTTGCACCAGCTTCGATCCACTTCAAGTTTGGAACCAAAATCTAAAAAGGCATGCCCAGAAAACTGAAAAAATTTTTATATCTTAATTCACAGAAGTCCTACAGATCTCTCACTCGCTCACCTATATACGCTCCACATCAAACACTCATATGTGTGCTGTTGTGTCTTTTTATATTAGCTAGAAACCATGTTGTTATCGAAGTGATGCTGTGCCCTTCTTATACTAAAAGTTGTATACCACGAGCCCTTAGAAGTACAATCGTAAATTTTCAGCTCTCTATAACCTCTGGTTCCCAAGAAATGTTGAGTTAAGCGTGAAAAACCCGAGTGAGGGAAGCTGAATTCAATATTTCTCTAGAACTAAAGCTTATAGAGTGCTGAAAAATTACGATTGTATTTCTGAGGGCTCGTAGTATACATCTGTTAATATAAGAAGAGCACAGCATCACTTTGATGAAAATATGGGAATTTTCAGTTTCTTGATTTCTAGCTAATAAAAAAGACAGCAACAGCACTTATGAGTGTCTGATGTGGAGCGTATGTGTGTGAGCGAGTGAGAGATCTGTAGGACTTTTCTGAGCGAAGATAAAAAAATTTTCAATTTTCTGCGCATCCAAAACTTTTTAGAATTTGGTTTCAAACTTGAGGTGGATCGAAGCTGATGCAAAGGATATATGCCATCTTATAAAGCTTGCTTTGTTCTATTGAATGGTATCCTGAGGTCTATTTAGAATAAGAAGTGGACCACTTATGCGAAAACTTAAAAATGAAAATACTTATGGGACAACCTAATGATATTTCTTACAACTTTTTCAAATTTGATTATGGAGCACTCAAATCTTGGCATTATCAGTTTACATATGGATTACTTATAAAACCACTGTTCTGCCATTCTGTCATTGTCGTAGTAGAAATACGCCATAAAGGGAAAGATCCAGCTATTGCAGGATCGGCTAATACTTGTTTCAGAAATTAGTCTACATACTGTCCTTTTACCCGCTACTCCTTTTATACGATAAGACCTTCTGCAGAGCTTAGAGTCACCCCTTACAAAGTCTGGAGAGAATGTGAAATTTCGCGGTGTCAATGGATGTCCGCACGTCAGTTGACGAAGTCTCGTTTAATTTAAAGGCAGCGTCCAGGCAAATCTGGACCTATGGGGTTTTTACGTGGAAAGTGATTTTGGGGCCCTAACCAAGCCAATGCCCAACCGGCAGCTCAGGTAGTGCTCTAACGGCTGAGATATTCCCCTCGAAACTGGACCCCGGGATCGTATTCGCATTGATTCATGGCGCGACCCACCAATTCCGCGCGAGGACCCACGCGTGTCGCGCCGTAAATCCATGCGAATACGATCCCGGGGTCCTATTTGGAGGTGAATATCTCAACTGTGGGTTCATCATTTGAGCTGCCGTTGGGGCAGTGTCTAGTTAAGGCCCCAAAATTACTTTCCACATCAGAACCCCTTATGTCCATATTTGCCTGAACGCTGCCTTTAAAGGCGCCAGAGTGCTCTCAGCAACCCAAAACTTTGCAAAAGTAAGCGATAGATCCAACTGCACTAGTAATCAGCATGCTCGGATTCCCCTGTGTTAACCCCCGGCTTCGTAGCTCAAATTTTGCAGGAGTTAAAGTGGACATTAGTCATAACAGAACCTAAAGTGTATGTATAGAAAATTTAATCCGGATCGGTTCAAAAACTGAAATATGAGCTTATTTTTGTTGAAAAGAGCGGGCATGTTTGCAGGACACCACGTGTGCAGGTCGTAAGAAGGAAAGCATCATTACTAAATGAAGTTGAAACACGATACAGGCAGGATTTCTAAACTCTGACACTGTCGGAATTTGTGAATAGGTAAAGAAACTCGTATAACTGCTAAGATCTGCCAAAAACGACCTAACTTGCTATTAGGTTGGCAACTAAGTGTTGCAACTTCTTCCATAACTTCTCTCTTTTTGTGCAAGATGACTCAAAAGATATACTCTTTAAATGATTGTCAATATCTCTCTCATCACAAGATATTTTGCTGACCTTTAGGTGCCATTCTGTAAAACTGAGTTTTTCGTGATATAAAGCGAATCACCGACCGCCTCACTATAGCATTGCGGCAGGAATCTCCAGCATGTAGTACCGTTGTGAAATACTCCGTCCAGATTTTGAAGAATTCACAAAAGAAATCTAGAAAGTAGCAAAGTTTTTACGCATGCTGATTCGCTACACAATTTGGCAGGCCTTTGAAACTCCTCAAGTAAAGTAGTCATATTTCTGAGGAACATCATAAATCAGCTAACTGTTTCAACCACTAGCATAACATAGAAAAAAGTGTTTTAACGTATAACCTAGACATGAAGCATTACGGTAAGGCGCAAACTTGGTAGTATTCTCCAAGTTTTTGAGCCATGCAGGTTTTATGGATGGTCTTTATTGAACCAATCAAACGCCAGCCAAACGTTTCGACGCCTTCGTCTTCCTCGGAGCGTAGAATGCATTTTCGAAAAGTCGCGCTGATATCATCCGAAACAAATGGAAGGCATAGCGGAAGTTTATTACGAACATTCACCAGTCGCAAGTTGTCGCGTATGCGGTGGAGTGATAACCATCAGTGCATGCAATCGGAAGCCAATTTTCGTAACTTGCATCGTTCTTCTCCTCCAGAGCACACTGCACTGCCGTCGTAAACATATTATAACAGCGCGCTTCACAAATGTAGGATGGGCAGATTCGATATTTAAAAAAAATGTTTTCACAGCTTTCTTTGCAACACCGTTGAACCCAATAATGCCGTTGGAAAATCACTGTGCATTGAGGTACAGCCATAGCAGACCCTGCTTAAGCGGGACACATGCGAGGATAAAAAAAATTGAGGTACAGCCATCCTTTGTGTGGTGTCACTCGTGTGAGCTTTATGTACTGCAACGCTGATTGAGAATTTCAAAAATCTTGTCCATTTCGGACAGTGTGGACATAGCAACACAGCAGTTATCGATATAACGGCAGTACAAAAGCGGCATGCGGGCTAATACCGTCCTCGATCTTGCTCATGAAGCAGAATGTAAGTACCGGAGCTAACCCCTGACCCATTGCTAACCCTCGTAACGACCATCTAAAGATGTCGCACTTAAAACATCCATGTATAAGGGTCACTGTCCCTATTGGAAGAGTTCAAAAGTATTGATGGTAGTAGCATGTCTATCCAACATCTCTGACAGCGCTGCAGGGCTTGTTCATTTTGCACATTAGTGTAGAGCGCGATACTTGATATTTAATATCGCGACTTTGATCAGCCTAAGCTAACAGCGGAACTGAGTCATCTTAGCAAATCGGAGGAAGATGTACATCACTACGCGCGCGACGCTGATTCCAGATCTGTTTCCTTTTTTGCGAAACAACTCTCCAAAAGAAGTCATGGGCGTTGTGAATCTAAGTTGTCAAACGTTAAATGGCATAAATGCAAGAAGTTATGCTAAAACACCTCAGATTTTACGTAATCGATTTGTAACAAGCATATTGACCACAAGCAAGGGGAATCACATAGATATTTTGTATAATTTTTTTGCAAATTTATGCCACTTGAGGATTGACAAATTTGGACTTCCAAAGACTCACAACTTTTTCGGAGGGTTGCTTTGCAAAGAACGAAAACAGGTTGGGAATCAGCGTTTGGAAGCGCGTTTAAATACATCTCTTTCCGATATGCCGAGATAACTTGGTATCATTCCCTTGTAAGAGTTTTTTCCTAGTTTGGGTTTTTTTCAAAGAGAAGTGTGATCCATAGTGATTGATAAACCCTCTTCAAGATTCATACCACACTTCTGCAGTAGTTGAGGGCGATCGGATTTGCTTCACACTGAATTCTGAGTTGCAGCCAGCTTTACAGAACAGCACTCCAATTTCTACAGTCTAAACAGGACGTCAAAAGTGAAGTTCAAATATCTGCTCCCCATAAAAAAATAAAAGTTAATAGAAGATAACTGATGAAATTCGAAGTATAGTGGAGGTCACCCCGAATCAATGCGGCTTTGTAAAAGGATCTGGCACCATCAACGCCATCCACGCGGTACGATTGCTAATGGAAAGGCATTTGGAGAAACGGATTCCGATTCATTTCGCATTCCTGGATTTAGAAAAGGCATTTGATCGGATACCACACGGGCTGATCTGGTATGCGCTGAGACAACACGACGTCCCAGAAGAGTACGTTCGCTGGATCAAACTCCTCTATACGAACACGACGGGCGCCATACGCTGTGCAGTGGGAACGTCAACGCCATTCCCAATCCAAGTCGGAGTACACCAAGGATCGGCTCTATCACCGCTTCTCTTTATACTGTGCATGGACACGGTGACCAAGGATATCCAGCTGCCGCATCCGTAGACGCTCCTTTACGCAGACGACGTCGAGCTAGCAAGCGGATCGAGACAAGAGCTTGAAGAGGCGACTGTGAGATGGAAGACACGATTAGCGGTATATGACTTACGAGTGAACGTAGCAAAGACCGAGTACCTGGAATGCGGAGAGCAAACCGATGGCACAATTAGCATCGATGGGCAGCCGCTGAAGAAGGTCACGATATTCAAATACCTGGGCTCCCGAGTGACGTCGGATTGCGACACGATCACTGATGCTCGTGCTAGAATGAATGCGGCGTGGCTAAAATGGCGGCAAATAACAGGAGTACTCTGCGACCGACGAATTCCGTTGTATCTCAAGTCGAAAGTGTATCGGACTGTGGTGAGGCCAGTCGCACTGTATGGAGCCGAATGTTGGCCAGCAATCAGAAAACACGAGCAGATCCTGAGCACGATGGAGACGCGAATGATAAGATGGATACTTGGCCTAACGAGAAGAAACTGCGTCACGAACGATGATGTACGACACATTTTCGGAGTTGCACCTATCGCGGATAAGATGCGAGGTGCCAGATTACGATGGTATGGTCACGTTTTACGAAGTGAAGATAATACAGTAGCAAAAACAGCACTTCGTCTAGATCCACAGGGGAAGAGAACACGTGGCCGTCTGAAGCAACGCTGGTTGGACACCATTCGAAACGACCTGCACATTGCAAAGCTCAAACCACAAGAAGCAGCTGATCGAGTCAAATGGAAGCAAAGATGCACCACCGCCGACCCTGCACCCGCGGGACAATGGCGAAGATAAAGAAGAAGAGAAGAAGAAGAAGATAACTGATGAAAAACGTGAAAATGCAAAACAAGTAGCAAAAGCAGAAGAGACTCTTGGAAACCGGGTGAAAACGTTGCGATAGGTATGAAATCCTTATTTGGCGGCATTTCAATCGCAGCTTTTCGTTCCCGGACTTGGCGACACAACACTGGGGCCAACAAACGAAAACTATTTTTTCTTAGTGATTTTTCAACAACAAGCATGTTCCGGAAGAAGTGATTGCTAAGAGAAAATCAGACAAGAAAAGATTTAGTTATGGGTAAACTTTTGTTTTACTAAGCCAAAATGCACGTGCCAATTTGGTTAATGCGTCCTTTGAATTTTAACCCCCACCTCGTAGTTTATGTTTCCTGCGACAATGTCAGCTTTGTTCTGCCCATCATTCTGAGCAAGATGCCGCCAAGTGTGAAAGAAATGGTTGCTTATTCATTTTAATAAAGAACTCAAAAACGTACTTTCAAAGCAAAGTAAGTTCGGTGACGTTGTTGACATTATAGGCAAAAGAAAAATCTAGCGCACGCAATGACAGAAAAGAAGTTGAAGGAAAAAATTTTGAGAACAGTTTCTTGCTAGATTTCTCGTTAAAAGAAAATGAGGCTTGACGACGTTATCAGCGTGCAAGTAGAGATCATGCGCTGCAATATGACAGACAATTTGCTAGAATTGAGTATAGAACAACGCAGCAAAAGGTACCAGAGCCACGTGCCCCTTGCACCGCGTTTAGGTTGGCGAGGGAGCGCGCAACATGGGGTGCGCAGATATCAGAGGAAAAAAGCAGTTTGGCTTTGGCCGAAGTCTTTGCGAATCTTAACGAAATTCCGCAATTTTATATCATTCTCGTCATGAGACGACTGGGCGCAGTAAAAACGTCGCCGGAAGTTAAAAGTCACTCCTTGGTAAGATAAAGCAGCATTTTCGTGTTTGGCTTTTTGCACAGTCTCTCCTTCTTAGGAGCAGCTTTCGTAAACTTTTGAAACTCAGTCTCAGTCTGCTAACGGTTCTGAGAAACGTTGTCCTTATTTTTAGGGATATTTTCACATGAACCATGTTTTTTAGCAAAAAAAGGCTGTAAAGACGCAGTTTGTCAGATTTGCTGGGATGTTCTTGAAATTCCATACTTGATTCGCTCATATCTATTGTAATTTAGTTATGGTCATGAATGAAGCAAGTATAGTAGGTTTTGCCCGGATAATTTCTGATTTCTTTTCGAATGACTGTTGTGTTCTCTTATTTCGCTCGGAGAAGTTCATCAGAGTACATGACTCTATGTATCGAGAGTATATAGTACCCTTAAAAGCACTGTCCAGGACAACTGGAGAGTGGTGGGATTTTGACGAATTGCGGAAGTACGGCTCCTGACTAATGTAAAAATGCAAGTCCAACTGAAAAATGTGGATTTTGAAACGAGAAAGTCGTTTTGGAAAAAAAGGGGCGGGACGCTAATTCCGCTTCTTTGACAAGTTTTGAGAGGTTAATACATTAGATCTACAGCATTCGCCACGCCAAAACTTGTCAAGGGGGCGAAATTAGGGTACCGCACCTTTTTCCGAAGCGATTTTCTCACTTCACAACTCACTTTTTTCGATCCGATTCAACTATTGCAGCAGACACGAGCCGTTCTCCCGCACTGAATCAGAATCACACCATCCTCCAGTCGACCTGGACAATGCCTTTAAGGTCGACATGTGATTTTGTGGAAAAACAGTGTGCACGTACTTTTAGGACACTATATAAAAGAGGAATTTGGATAATTTGACTTACTTAGTTGTCAACCTGACAGTAAGTTTGACAATGTTGCGGAAGCTGTTGAAGCATGTTCAGCATGCCACTACGGGAAGTCGTTCATGTTGTAGTGTTCCAATTGAAATGCCGATGATTGTGCCCAGTAAGATGATTAACACATATGAAAGGTGGGTTATACAGTCTCGACATGGTCATAATGCACATTTTTGTAAGACCAAGCGAATTTTTTTAATCTTCTAAGTTGAAGTTCTTGATTTTTTGTTGTGATTGACGTACATTAAATTCTAACAATTTTTGTCATTGCAGAACTCACAAGCTTGTCTCCTGATGCAACGCTGGAAAATGAAGCTATAATCGCTTGACTAGTGTGGTCTACCGCCACATACCCATCAGTTCTTTCCCCCTGTAAAACACTGTGAATGGTGAGAAATGATTTCGCATGAAAACTCACTGTTGGAGTTTGTATGGCGAATCGCTTCAACAGTTGAACATCTCCAGGAATATTTGAGATACATCGCTTCTGTAGTTTTGTTTTCTAGGTTTATTTTTCTCAACGGAGTCTCCTACCATTTGCAAGTATGTGCCCTGAGCTGCAGCAATGAGCGGTGTGCCGAACACACGAGCGAATGTCTCGTTGTACGGAGTCTAAACGCATATCACACTTGATACTACTATAAAGAATCAAGAGCAGAACTCATACGTCATAAAACATAAAGTAAAGACCACTTATTCACATCAGTAACCTCAGAGTCGATCGGAAATGATGCATGAGTTCTGTTCTTTGTCTCTTACCGATGAAAGGAGAGGGCAATCTACGCTTTCGCGATAACCAGATCGGCACTTCACCGCTGTAGATACGCAGGAGCTCCATATTGGGCACCATCTGATAGGTTCATTTAAATTATGTAAACGAAGAAAAATACTTATACAAGTATAATTTCGCTTTGTCCAATGTAATCTTCATTGCTGCTGCAGTGAACACATTGACTTGCCAGAGTATTTCGTAAGATAGAAAAAGTTTAACTTTTCTATCTCCGTTTGAAAGAAGACTGTTCTTGTCAGTGGTATCATTCATCCATCTATGGACTCATGTCACAACGGATGAAAGGAGTATCGTGTCTTTTTGACGAAAAAACTGGTTTAGCTCTTGGCAAGGGAACAAAGCTGTGAAAGCAGAATTTAGGACCTAGTCTGACAGTAATTTGTGTCGTATTTGTACTACTCAAGTACCTGCTTCACTTCTCTGGACAGAATTCCCAATTGAACAAAAGCTGTCTATACCAAAAGAAAATCATGCCTATTGCGTCTTAGAATGCAAGGTGCTCCTCAAAGCACGGAGAGTGCCATGACTGCTGATTGCTCTTTTCGACAGTCAGGTTCCCGTTGCATTTGTTTTCGTGATTATCTTAGTAACCGCTGAGATCACAAATCCATGGTTTCACACCCAAACTTTTCAAAGTTTTTCTGAATTTTCTAGAGCTATGTTAACAGATGGAGAGAGTAAACAATGTGTAGTACAAATAATTTTTTGGGAATCTCCGACAAACTTTTTCATCCTCGACGATGATTTTTCCAAAAGTCCTGCTTTTGCAAAAACTTGTGAACGCGAGCGCATCAATCGAATCTTCGGAGTTTAAGATTTCACAATTGGGTTATCATTCAACACTAAATTTTACAAAGCAAAGACCGCTTCGAAATATTGTATTCTGAAAGTTTGGGTACAGCCAAAGGCGTGCCCAAATGTTCGCAGTTAGGATGATCATCCCCGAAGGTCTACAATATGGATACAATGGCTACTAGAAAGCACAAAAAAGCCGCATCGAACATGAGTTGTTTGTCGGCTGAAGTTCCGTGAGGCTTGGCTCGACCACGTATGGAATTTCAACAACGGAAAAATAATTTTTGTGAGCTTGAAAAGCTAGCTGGAGATGCCAAAAAAATAACGTTGCAATTTGTTTGCTCTATTCAGCCGTTATCAGAACTCTTTCGGAAGTTTAGAATAAAAGATCTGAAAAAAATTAGACATGGGAAAAACTACGGTCTCAAACTGCGATTATCTAATTAACCATCAAAGCGAATAGTCCCAAAACACTACAGCTGGAAAGAGGAAAGAAAACTACGCCGAATGGCTTTTGAAGCGTTTGCCTAACTCTATTTTTCGTGTTTTCATGACAATTTGAAAAAACGGAAAGGATTTTCGGGACTTAATATGATGAAGTTGTCACTTCTCCCTTTTCCCACAATCTACATTCCTTTTTCAGTGAGCGAGAAAACAAAAAATTTGTCATTCTCTATTGTTTACGTGTAAGGATCATGCATAGGTCGAAATGGCCATTAATCGGTCAGGCGAGTTTTGAAACGATGCCAAATTGCGAAAGACGATAATGCTGCCAAATTTCATAATCGAGTGAAAGAAGCTTGTTTGTGAAAGATCTCGCTATATAGCATTTCTCAATAAGGAGTATGTCCAGGGGTTGGGCCAGAGTACGCTGAAAAAGCGGTGTAGCGACGTACGCTTGGCATGTTCCATCATAGGAGCGTACGCAAGGTAGCCACGTATTCTGGCCTAAACCCAGAAAAGATTCCCTCAAGGTACTCTGTGATTGATTTCGGAACCTTTAATTGGTTTTCGTTTTCGGTTCGCCAGTTTGTGTCTTCAAGAGATGCCTTAAATATATGCTCGCATGCCGTGGTGGTCTAATCACACTCCCAATTCCTATCCAAGTTACGACATTTGAATACCATAGCTATCCACGGCGGCAATCATAATACAGTGCGTTTCATAACTATACGACACCCTCCGAAATTTGGGATTTCCGGGTTTACAGAAGAGATTGAGTACTCCAGTTAGTGCCTGTGTGATCCAAATATGTTATCGAATAAAATGACATCCCAATTAATATGTTTACTCACTTGCTTTTCTACAAGTAGAGATATGTCTATTCTTCCACTGTTTCATAACTATACGACACCATTGAGCAAAGCACTTTTTCCAAGGAAAAGAATACTTAAAACGTGGTTTTCATAGCTAATCGGGCTACCGGGCTCTTTCACCACTTCGTCAAGTCTATTGGATATGCTTCTAACAAATTCAAGCATGTCTTCGGTTCAGTGTTGTCACATGCGTCCATAACAAACCCAACATTTCCAATGCCTCATACTGCTTGTATCTGCTTAGAAACGCTGTGCCAATAATTTCCAGAGATATTTTGAAGAATTTGAGACAAGACAGTATGGTCACCTTTACAAAAGTCGCTCGCGATGCTAGCGGAGAACGGCAGTAAGTGACCCACGGCATGTTCACATGCGTTGTGGTGCTGCGAAACGTAGTGCTATTATAGGCGCTTTGTTGAGGAGACGACAGAAAGAATGAGCCAATAATTTAATGGTGTAATCTGATCGAAAAAGTCAGTTTGGACGGCTTAAGGACCGTCTGAGTGGATGTAAGCAACGTCCACAACATTTTAGCATGAAAAACTTTAGCGGAGGCTCCTCTAAAATCTGGGAGCATTTTGCATGGTTTAAGAGCCTAGATTTTTATGAGAAAAATTGCGCGCAGGTTGCCAAGAAGTACTGGAAAGTCGAGGACTGTTCTCCTTCCACAAGCGCCGGTGACAGCACTACGTTTTGAAGGTACAACGCATCAAACATGCACGCGGGTCACTTATTGACGTTCTTCGCTAGCATTGCAAGCAATTTCTGTAAAGATGCCTGTCCCAAGTGCTTCACAAAATCTCTGGAGATTACGGGCACAGCGTTTCTATGCGGATATTAGCAGTACGAGGTCTTGGAAAAGCTGGAGCAGCTTGTTATGAACGCATGTGATAACTCTGAACCGAAGACATGCTTGGATTTGTTTGAAACATGTCCAATAGACTTGGCGAAGTGGTAAAAGAGCCCGGTAGCTCGATTAGTTATGAAAACCACGTTTTGCGTGTTCTTCTCCTTGGAAAAAGTGCTTTGCTCAATGGTGTCTTATAGTTATGAAACAGTGGAAGAACAGACATGTCTCTACATGTAGAAAAGCAAGTGGGTAGACATATTGATTGAGATGTCATTTTATTTAATACCATATGTGGATCACATTAGGCACTGAATGGAGTACTCAATCTCTTTCGTAAATCCGGCAATTCAAAATTTTGGGGGGGGGGGGTGTCGTATAGTTATGAAACGCACTGTATTTATGTGGTGACTGGTGAAGGCAAATCCTTCACGTTTATATCAGTCTGCAAGCTGCAACATGAGCTTTCCGAGAACACTGTGTTTATTTTTTGTCGAAATTCTTTTGAATTGGACATTGAAATTGAGAATAGTTTTTTTTTAAATCGGTAGGACAGTTCTTTTTTAACGAATAAAGGTGCTTGAGCGGCACTTATGGGCAGTATGCGTAGAATAATATGCGCTGAGCTGATTAATCTGCCAATGATGTTCGCTGAAAAATTTAGGGAAGTCCTGAGCGTTTGACAGACCGAATTTGGCAAGCATTTAGTGTTATACGTCTAGTAGTGGGTTCGGAAGAAGTTTTTGAATATTTCTGAATGTAACTTCTTGTAGGCAGTACATTAAAAACATTTCGGCTCTCCTAATTCAACAAAGCACATCATTTTAGACTTTGCAAGCTTATAACTTCTCCCACAAAGTGATACAGCAGGTAAAGGCTACAAAATTTGAGCGAGATTCAAAGCTATTTCTGACAATATAAATCTTCTAACAAATCATCATTATGACTCGGTATTCCTTCTTTGTCTGTATTGTTGACGAGATGATCAGCCTGCTTTTATATACTCAAAAGATAATTGAAATAAAAGACAAGCGGCGTAGGGCTTAAGATTATGTGGAGATGTACAATAAATGATAAATTATACGCCAGTACCACATTGTTCAAAATTCATTGTAAAAATTAGCAGAAGCAGCTGAAGGTGATTGAGCAGCATCTAAAATATGAGGACAAAAAGTTTTTTTTGAGCTGGGCTCCCTCTTTCGGCGAGGATGTTAACACATGCAGCTTGTGAGACCACCTTGTGCTGAGGCTGCCTCAGCATCTCTTTGATCTCCTTTGCGCCCAAATCGACTAATTTGCCAGCCGTGCCATTCGATAGGATGTCCGACAGTTATCCATCTCGACCAAGTTACATTTCCCATTATGTTGTGTTTCAGTGCCATTAGTTTCTGCATTTGATCCAAACTGATACTTCATTCTCATTTGCCTCACATAATCTTGCGATCGCGCTGTTTTACATGTTGTTATCTAGCTTTGTTACGGTTCTTTATACGGTTCTACGGAGAAATCTCAGGTTAGCCCGGGTCAGTTGCATATTCGTTGCATTATGTTGCGTATGTTTTGTTTTAGAAAATAAAGCGTTTAGTTAATCAATTTTGAGCGAAGTCCCGCGTGGCAGCTAAAGTCCGAAACCGAACGAAGCCCCAGAGTACCATTTCAGCCACAAAATGAAACAAAAACACTTTCTTCGAAGGTGAAAAGCAAAGTTCATTCCTTTTGTGTCTTTTTGCTTCCATTTTTTCGACCCCTTCCGCTGTTTTTGAGTTGGGGTTCACTTGTTGCTTTTGACTATTCCGCGAGTAGGCCCCAGCTCTCATCTATATACCGCAAATATCGTAGCCATAGTGAAATTCGGGATTTCGCCGTCATAGGAAAGATAAATATCGATTTATGAGGGACCAGTTGCCACCCTATTATCGAATCAATTTTCATGTATAGCGTGATATACTTCCCGCACAATAAAGTGCACTTGCCTTACTGACAACGTTCCGGCAAAATATGAGTTTGTGAGTCTTATACCCATTTTTATGCGCTCGTCTCAAGTAAGCTGGTGGCATTCCCAGTACTCAATCATATTTAGACCGCTAGCTTAGCTTTTGAATTGCTTTCAAGTAATTAGTGAGCTTATAATACGTACACTCCGGAATCGCACAGGACAAAGATATCACAACCAGAGAGAGCTTATGCACGAGGAAAAGTAGATAGACTGCAACAATGGTGTCAGCAATATTAACCTTGTCCTACAAAAACTCAATCAGAGCTGCTTAATCGTTGAACAAAATATAAATAAAAGTGTTGCACACAAAACAAATAGTGTGGGATGATCTTTACAGTACGTCAAAAATTGGACTCGTCCATGCAAGAAAGCATTTGAAAACGTGTTGCTTTCTGCTAGAGTGAACATCTGAGTTTATATGCAAACACTATCTACTCATGAGTTTGTGATTCATCAAAATACATATGCATCATTTGTTTACTCGTAACTTTTCAAAATGAGCTCTATTATAGTTACAACACTATAAAATAGCAGAAGTTTAATTATCTTGCACTAATCAAAGTTTCATGGCCTCTCAGATTTCGCAACCATTTGACTGCACGGATGACAGTGAAAAAGGCATTATATGTTACACAATAAGATCTGATATAAATCTGTGTGTAACTGAGTGACCGCTATGCCCTTACGAGTTTTTTTCAACATGGTTTCAAGGACGTAAGTGAACATACATCAGCTCAAGTATGTGAAATTTTCGCTTGGCCAATCTAAGGTGATCGAACTAAGAAATTCATCAGTATCAAAAGTTGGTCAACATGATTACCTCCAAATTCGCACGTTCACAGTTTGTTGTTTTGCCAGATTCTGTAGGCGGGGATAATGTGAAATGGAAGCAGTTCAACATGAACAGTACTGAAGTTAACAATAAGCGGAATAATTTTGCTGTGGTATTTTAGTAATTTTTAGAGACTGAAACTTTTTTCGGCTTTTTAGCTCAACGAAAAAAAAATTGAAGAGTCTGGGCATCGGTCCAACCAGAGGCAAGGAACAATCGCGCAAGAGAAGGTGGAATATTTATAAAGAAACAAATGAGAAGTTAGAATATAATTGCCAACAAAATTCACGACAAATTTTGATCTGTTTTTACACTATCTGGTTTCGGGGCTAAGGACTTCACCGGTAGTGCAGCTTCCTTGGGGTCCCTCATCAGCAGTTCCCAAGTAAGCTTCAAAAATTTGGAAAGAAAGGTAGCCTACAGAATCTCAGCGGAGTTATGTATGAATGAAGTATTGATTGATTTTTCGTATTTGCACCCTTTTATGTCAACGTTTTTGTTCGTTGGCGAATCAGTATTGGCGAGACTGTAGTCTAACTGAAATTTGGAAAATATCTAATGAGTCTCAAATTGTTAGAGGAATTTTTAAAAAAGCATTTGAGAAGAGAAGGCTTTTAAATGACTTACACGCATTCTGTAAATTCCCTGTCATGATGGCGACCAGCACAGCTTTCACAACCGGTAAACTGTGAGCAATATTGCTCAGCGTAGTTTCCCACAGTAGAAAGGACGTCGTTGAAGTATATGACAAATATCAATACGGATCTCATACAGTGCCTGAGGTATCACTGGAAAACCATGTCATCAGAATGTATGAAAACATCTGGAGAGTTTGTAAAGTTGTTTTGCTATCACAAATAAACGCCTAAAGGATGGAACAATAGTTCTGTGCGTAGCACGAAAAGAAAGAACGAGTGTGTGCTTGGAACGTTAATACCAAAACAAATAAGTATGTGAGTCATATCAACCATGATCTTGGCACATTTCGCATTCAAGATTATTTGAGAGGAAGCGATGACCGATGCTGTCAACCAGCTATACCCCATGTTTTTTTCTTGCCACATGACACCTCGCCAGCTTGTAGTGGCTCTCTCTACACTTTTTCGATTTATTATTCGCGACGGCTATCACAATTATACAATGAACAGCAGCAAACTAATTTGCGTACATTAAAAAGCTAACGCATGGGTTGCAGAGGACAAGTTTGAGAAGTAGATTGCTAGAGAGGAAGCCAGCAATTACTACGTGAAATGATTTTGAATGTAGTAAAAAACAAGTCAGAACATCTTTTTACTGTGGCCGGGGTGAACATTGCGACTGCTATAAAAGGAACGGTTCAGAGATGAGCAATAAAATTGCGTACAAATGGAGCTGACAGCACGGTGAGAAGGATTATTTATTAGTAAATCTGTGCACAATGATTAGCTCGAGTCAATGTCTTCATGAAGAGATTTACATACTTTGACGTCTAATTCTCATTTTCTCGTCATCTTTACAGTACGAACCTGAATTTGCCTTATCTTTGGCGAGAAACAACAAAAAAACATAATTTACATGCAAATGGAGGCTATCGTCTGAGGTTGTGAGAATTAGATCTTCAGCAATCGCTCGTATACACAATGGTTGAGTTCTGGTTAAGAACTACTCGGTCTGCCGCTTTTATGGCCGATCGAGTTGACAGAATGAGGCTTTCGAAAATGCGCCAACGGGCAGCACAGAATTCCCTTGAACTTCCTGAAATACGAATTGACATATTCTATATTTTGCGCGACCTGCAAATGTGCAAAGCTGTTCATCAAGTGAGAGTCACTGGAAGTAACATGTGGTTCACTATTGCTTGAACACAGTACTTTTTGAAAAAATTAGTATTTATATTTATACTGGAGCACTAAGGATTGCCCATACATGCAGTTTTCTAGGTATTTTCGGAAAAGTTCACAGATACAAGATATACTTACCGCAAATGTATTAGGATGTCCCGAAAGTTTTGTCGGTTTCTTTCATTGCTCACTAAACTCACAGAACACCAATCCATAGACGGCTTAGGCACCATCTGATTCAGAATTTCATCCTCTTTCTTACAGTTATACTTGCTCACTAATATACCCTGTCTTTGCAATGTTATCGCCATGGCTTTTTGAGCAGCTCAGCAGTAACACCAAATCTTTCCTGAATTTTAGAATTTTTTATTTTAATGTTTTAAAGAGCGCTGGTAACTGTTGAGTAGAGCAAACCTTTGGCTACATTGTATCCGTTTTAGATTACATGAACTACGTTTACCAGGTCCGTTATAATTATTTATCCAATAAAAACCGCGGCTTTTTGAATAGGTTTAACAAGTAAAAGTACCAAAAATTCCAAAAAGCTGCTTTTTCGAAGCGAAGCAGAGTTGGTTATGTTGCGTAAATGATGATTAGTAAGAATTATGTTTTAATACGCAGAAACTTCAAAAGCTTTCGTGTGTTTTATGCAGCTGCTGTTTCATGACTTTGCCAAAAATCGAGACCTCCGGAAATAATTTTTTGAAGCTAAAATCAGCAGACTAGGAGAATCTAAAAATACCAACTTGCAGTCCGAGACTGCTCTATTTAATCCATACTTAATCCTCTTGGAGACTTTGTAATGAAATTTTAAAAATAGCCTAACTTTGAGCAGGATAAATTGGCAGGTGGAGAATTTTGGCAATTATCAAAAAAAGCATACAAGATTATGGTATGAAAATGTATCCGTAAGAAAGAGAAGGAAAAGCTGCATCGAATGCATGTTAAAACTCACTCAGGTTCTTCATTGGGCGTGGTTTCACAGTGGTTTAAAAAAACCGACAAAACTTTCGAAACAACCTAATATATGACTTCTCAAAGCAAAAAAGTCGTTATCTCATTTTTGTTGACTTATCCTATAAAAGGCTGGGACAAGTAACATATTTGAAATGGGTACAAAGAATTCTGAGATTGGAACGAAAGTTTTGGCGCACTGTTTTCACTCATTCATAGCTTCCCGGTCCCAGTCCCTATATAACATCTTCAACAATTGCTTCTCGCACAATTAAAACCTATACGTGCTCTGCTCAAATAGCAACACGACCGATAAAAATTTGCCGTCTTTTTGAAGAGGTGAGAAGAACTAAGATCGAATCTGCGACACTGTTATAGGTTTTGTTACGATGAGAGCATTTCTTCACATGGTGATCAAAAGCACCAGAAGATTTGCATTTAACATTTTGATTCAAAAGCGAGATAAAACGATGGCATCGAATTGCTACATGGACTATTTTCTGTAGAAATTACTTAAGAACGTTGAATCCAAAGCTGCGAAGAAAATAATGGCGGATAGGCTCCACTTAGGAAAAGAAGAAGATTTTCAAATCCTTCAGTAACTGTGCAATCATGAGTCCCTACCGGGAAGTTTTAACAAAAGCCTCTGAACTTCATTCTATGCAAGGTAAAAAGGAACGGAGTTTCTACTTATTGACTAAAGATTTAGTATTTGTTAGTCGCCCTCACCCCCACTAAACACTATGGTCAAACTCGAATATGAACTAAAGCAGGCCGGCTGGGGTAGAGCCGCACCCTAGATCTTACAAGTTTACGCTTGTTTCTTTTCTCGTTGCATGCTATTTTTGTGTTTTAACAATTCTCGTAATCACAATCTGCGAATCTGTTGTTGTTGAGCGATGTTTTGGGTCTGATAACGAGTAAGTTAGAGGAAGTGATGAAAATAGGCAACTTCTGCCCATTAGCTCTTGTTTGGCAAGTAATACGTACCGAAGTGTTGGTTTAGTAAAAATTATGTCACAAAATCTATCAGCATCGTTTCTCCAAGCTCAAGAGTTAAAGAAGCGAGCACAGCACAATAGTAAGAAACATCGTTTAACAAAAGAAGATAAGAAATTTTGAATTTTCAATCAAGAACTTCATTGAAACACAATAAATAGCATGAAACGATGGAGGAATAGGAAGAAACACGAGTGAGTTTAAAGTGAAGGCTGGGTGCATGTGGTATATGCTATTCAAAAGGAAATTTTTCTACATTTGAAAGCCTTTTCTAAGATAAGTTTATAGTACAGTGTTGGTAAAAAAACATGCATAAGGTCTTAATTCGATCAAATTTGAAGAAGCATCACAACTCAGTTCGAGAAGATAATTTGCTATATTAGTGAAAGTTTTATACAAGTAGTGAAAACCATCCTTCTTTTCGACAGTGATTGTTTTCGCAATCTGCCATGAAGTAAAAGTAAGCTTTTTTCCAAAAAATAAAACCTGTAGAATGAAATTATGTAGATGTGCCCGTGCGCTTTTATGCAACCCACTTGCGCCTTATTTGTCATACTCTAGGTGGTGGTTCGTGGACCCAACAAAACTTGTGCTTATGATTATTGTTGTTATAACATAACGATGTTCGAAAAAGGATACTTGACGACAGGTTCTGGAAAATTGAGCGGTCACCCAACTTGCTATTCAGGTTCTCAGGTTCTAGTGTATCTTCACATGTAGCACATAGCATTGTTTGACAAACTTGGCTTAATTATTAATAGATTAAAATGGGCGAAAAATCCTGGTTTGCAGCAATTGGGTCTGACACTTTTGCGCCAAATTCTATGCTGTTTTTGTACTTTGCCGAGAAAGCTCACTCTAAGACAACGACGAGTTGATTGCCATCTTTGACACATATCGCATTTCCCTATCGTGTTTTGTCAAAATTTATCTTTAATGAATTCTTGCGCATTAGGCTAAGGATAAGAGAATCGAAACATTACTTCTATATCCTAGTATCTGACTTTGTCATTTTTGCCTAAGTTCATTCTTACTATAGCTCCAAACCTGGTCAGCAGGTGAAGAGCTCTGCCATTTGGTACTTTGTCGTTGGCTAGATGTTTCTATTTTTTTCACGCACCTCGAGAGCATGAATTTAATAATAATCATGACTTATAATAAAGCATTAATCGTGTCTTTTTGTGCGTGTGTGTCTGCCACGAATAATCGTAGAGCGAGCTGCAGAATACGTCTTAAGCCAAATTGTTGCGCAGTGCACGCTAGCAGCGTCTGGGCTCACCCTGCGCAATGGCTTATGGATCCGATGGTCCTTCGAAAATGGCACCCAGAGCGGGTCCACTCGGCTTTTGGCACGCAAATCTGGATCGCTGAATTCGTCTTTTGCAACGTCATGTATTTGTCTGACAAACAAATTTTCAAGCCTTGAATTTTAGTTCAAGGAATGCTCGAAAGGTCTGTTTTTCTGCAGAAAGCGCGAAAAAAGGACTGATCTTAGATAGTCGATTAGTCAAGATTTTACGTAAATGCACAGAGATGTAGCTTGAACGAAATTCAGTAACCTATTCGAATTCGTATTTGTTCTTATGCAGAAAGTTTCTTTCTCTCACAACAACCGATCTTACATGGAAAAGCTTTGTGAGTGAGCAGTTGTTTACAATACATTTGTATTAGGTTGGTGCAAAAGTTCTGTTGTTTCATTTTTAAAAAATCATAACTTTGCGCTGTCACAACGGATTTCCTTATATTTTCATTAGAAAGAGTAAATCTTTCGCTTTCGAATGCTGTTTTGCTGAGCTTGCGTTTCACACTGGGTGTGGAGATAAAAATGGAAAACTAAGACCATATAAGCTTTGACCTTTTTAAGTAAGGTCACCAAAAATCGGGAACGCTGCAGAAAAATCTCAAATCGTCAGTATATATGTCCTTTGGCCTACTCTTTGCAGCTGTGAAGAGTTTGTGCTGTTTGGACGTCTCTGTGAGAAATTATGATTTTCGCGAAAATTGACAAATTAATTAATTTTGGCGTTTTCCATAGTAAACTCGATATTCATAACTTCTCACAGAAACGTCCAAACTGCACAAGCTTTCCACAGTTGCAAAGGGTAAGCCAAAAAACATAAGTACTGACGATTTCAGATTTTTATGCAGCGTTCCCGATTTTTGGCGACCTAACTTGAAATGGTCAAAGCTTATATGGTTATAGTTTTCCATTTTTTACTCCCAGTGTGAAACAGAAACTTCGCAAAAAGCGTTTGAAAGCAAAAGACCTATTCTTTCTAATAAAATTACAAACAAGCAAATCCGTTGAAATTTTGCGGAGTCACAAATTTTTTAAAATGAAACGACAGAACTTTTGCACCAACCTGATAATATTCAGCATTGCGCGGTGAGTTTCAAAGTCATTACTATGCAAATCACGATGAAGACATACGGATGGTAGAGCCATTGCGACACTAGTGATAATAATAAACTTAATTAGTCATGGAAGCACAAAATTTTGTCCAACGAATTTCTTGCGAATGTGGGTTATAGTCATCTATGGTAGAACTTGCAAAGAAGTTGTTGACAAGAATTCTTGATAATTCATTCAACAACGTTCTCTTCTTTTGATGTGGTAGACTAAATCAAAAATTTAGGCTATAGTATATTTAAAAATTTGAGCTGATATTTTCGCCAAAGTAACCTTCACCTAATTTCAGTAGCAGTGTAAATTCCACTTCGCTGCGTCGAATGGCAATGATTTGCAGAGTCTATGTAGTCAAAAGGTTATAGTTGTCCTTGAGGGTTTTTAATGCTTGAAAAAGAAAGCACCGCAAATTTACGCTCAGAAAAAGCACATTCCATTACGGTCATTTTCACCTTAGACTTTTGTTTGGTTAAACACAAGCTACTGTTCTTGGTAGGTTATTGTTTTAGATGGCAAGTAGATGTAAATGCTTTGACTCTTGACAAAAGATATTGGAAACAAGCCGATTTTTAAGAAGAGTGTTCTGTTGCTTACCGTTGACGTCAAGAGAATCTCTTTTTTCATTTTTTTAAAGATAACTAAGCGACTTCGCCAAAGGATGTAGTCGGGTGACTAAGTTTGCCAAAATAATTTGCAAGCATCAAAAGGACCTTCCAGACTTTAGAGTCGTACTTATCTCATTTTCCAGTGAAAAATCGAGATAAACTTGGGCAACTCGAAAGATATGAAAAGATTGACATGTTGTACATGCCAAAGATGCAGCAGAATAAGCGCTAACACCTTCGTGCAATCCAACAGGTGCAATTCTGGCAATCATCTTACCAGTCAAAGAATGGAGATCTAGTCACAATCTTAGTAATGCATGTGCAAGGACATCTAAATAAAAACATCACTCATGCTTTATATTTGGGAACGTTCTTCCGTTGATGCAAAGGCTAAACTACAAGTTTCTGAGCGACAGTATGAAAAAGTCACTTCACAAGTGACTCGGATCTGCAGAGACTAGACTATTCAAAGAGCTAAGAATAATTGTGCCTACAAAAAATGCGCTATCTTGAGAGTTAGTGCTTTACATCTATTTGTTCAGCGTGTTTCAAGAATCTCGAAGCGCTACATGAAAAGTTCTGACTAGAGTTTGGATCTTGTAGCAGAAACCGGACCAACCACTGTTTTGCCGTCACCGTAGCGGGGTAGGGGAACGGAGGCCGCCACTTTGGGCCGCCTCCGCGGGCTAGAGGTCCCGAAACGACATGCAACAGCATTGCAAAAGGACCAGTTGGCCGCGAAAGCTGGTTCAAACTGGTGGCCTTCGTTCCCCTACCCTTGTAAGGTAACAGTGGGAGAAGCGCAAAGCGTCACAGTAAGTCTGTACCACGAATTCTTTATAGGCAAACTTGACACAGTATCTCTACACTATTTCAAAAGTGCGACTTCTCACCAGGTTCATAGCCTGTATGCTTGCAAATTCAAAAAGAATCTTGCATGATTTTTTTCGGGAAACACACTCTTGTCACAGCGGCACCAAAAGCCTTTTTCCTCTCCGAAGTCAAAAAAAAATTCCATATGCTGAGTTTGGTATATGTGAAAATGTAAAGCAAGGGGGAGCTATCGGCCTTCTCTGCATCATCTATAAGGTTCCACATCCTAATAAACCAGTTTGAGTGAAATTAACCTAAAGTTGTTTTATCCTTCATTCTAATACTGAAATTCCATAGCACAGTATTGTAATAGTGAGCTATACCAGGAACTCCCTGTCAGCTAAAATATTCGTAAATATCACTCAAGTTCATCTTTATAGGCTATACTTCAAAGTTTATAGTACTTCTATCAACTTTCATGCACAGTGAAAGAACCAGTTTATAGCTACCAGCTGCCATATACTCTAAATGCGAATCCTTTCAAAAAGTGAGAAAAATGAGGAAAATTATGTAAGAATATAGGTGAAGGAGCTTTCTGAATTATCTCTGAGATGAACAGCAGTTATGGAGCAATTTGAAATCTCATTTCTAGAAAAACAAAGGATTCTATCCTTCTTGTATTTAGTAGAAGGATAGAAACAGAAACAGGATGTTTATTGAAGATCTCTTTATTTTTCTACGAACATTTATTGCTATTATTTGAAATGATTAGATGTTTTAGGGAAAAATTTCGCAAACAAAGTAAAAGAAGTCCATTGCTTGGACCTTAGTACTTCAAAGGAAGAAATTCTGTTACTTTTGCTTGCAAATTCAGATATAACCCGAGTAAACATATCGCTGAGAAGCGTGAGTGAGAAATCGAGGACCTTTAATAGTCCTACAACATCCACCCTCCTAAAAATTGAGGAAAAATAATTCTAGTAATCCAGCTGGCGTAGGTAGACGAGAACAAATGATTGTGACAGTTCTATGATAGGCATAGCGATCAGAGAACCCGAAAAAATTTGCCATGAATAGTTCACAGCAGAACACCAAACAGATAGAGCATCATTTTTCGTTCCCATCCCATAGTTCTTGCTAGTCATCACTTTTTGCGCAGCACAGAAATGTGCTCTCTGGACAATTATGGAATTATGGGTCTCCGTTGTTGTGACTAATATAGGTGCAGCGATCGGCCTTTTTTCAAGATATAATAATGAGGCATCATGCGCTCCGCACAGTAGCAGTTTTATCAAAGATATTGGTGCCGATTTGATTAACCAAGCCAAAATTTTCAATTTTTCGAATTACTCACCCTTTTCATAAAATCGGACACATCATCGAAGTAGCGCCGATTGAACTCATCAGTGTTACGAGCGAAGACGTGATAGGACCTATAAATCATGAGTAGAGTACAAACACGGGAAAGGTTTGGGTATTGAGCATTTTTCGACCAGAAAAACGATTTCCAGCTGAGAAAACAGGTTTTTTACGGTAATTTTGCGTGTGTTAGTATCGTTATTCACCACTATTCGTTACTCTTTGATTTTGATTCCGTACTGCTTGTTCCTTTTCTCACTAGGTCACCATTTTTTTCGCATTATGTGATAAATTCCTTGCGCTTCAATTACACACTTTTTAAAGTAATGTCTCTTGTAAAAAATTTTCGTCAACTCGTGGGAGTAAAGAAATTTAGCATTTAAAACTTTGAAACTTACCATATTATGATTTTGCTGTATTAAACTTGTCTTCCATTGAAGAAAAAGCTAGTGAAAATGATGCTTATTCTTTACAGTGAAATCAAATACTAACGACTTCCATATAATGTTTAGCGGTTAATTTCAAACAGGCAAAATAAGCCCATAAATTTTTTGTTACTCTTTGATTTTAGGTAAACACCCGAGTTCCCTTTAGTTGATTTGTATATTTAACCCAAAATCAATCGTCTGAAAATCTGCAAGAAATTTCTGTGTTGCTTTTGTTTTTTGTCTGTCTGTCAAGTTTTTCAAAAAGAGCCAATACATTCAAGGACAGACGAAACACTTTGCAAGTTTCTTTTAAATTACAAAATAGATTCAAATGAATGCACAACGTCAAAAGCAAAACAGTTTTCTGAATTGTCAAACTCTGGAAATCAGATATACAGTTGCAGATATGCCGCTTTCATGAGCAAATGTTCATTTTCAAAAATCCAAAAATAAACAAACCTGCAAGCATTTTTACCGGATACTTCAGCGAAGACGAGATACTCGTATCGGCTTACATCAGCTGGTCCAGCTTTCACCAGACACACTTGAACGAGAAATTATGAAAAGGGGAAATTTTAGTGGGATAAACAGACAAAACATCCGAAAATTCATGTGATGCGGTGCAAAACGCAAAGACGTATTGCACTCACTGTCAGTGTGAAATTTATCAGTATCAATGATGATTCTTTCGTCGTCGGAGGACACACTTCCATGCATCTAAATATCGTAATAATGTTTCGTGAAAGAATAAACGAGAAGCGAATTTCTCAAATGAGTTCTAAAAAGTCAATAAACAAATAAAGTCTCGCAAGTGATGAATGGCTTAGGTGATTGAGTAAATGCAAAAAAGTTACCGTTTGGGAATGAGACCCGGAACAATTGTCTTGGGTTTACGATAAGGTACGATTTGGCAAAATTTCATGAAAAATCCGAGTTTCCTTTTTCAGCAAACAATACAGAACTTCAGTCACAAATATTAGGTTGTTGCAAAAGTTCTGTCGTTTCATTTTCAAAAATTTGTAACTCCGCGAAATTTCAACGGATTTGCTTGCTTGTAATTTTATTAGAAAGAATAAGTCTTTCGCTTTCAAATGCTGTTCCATGGAGCTTCTGTTTCCTACTAGGTGCGGAGATAAAAATGGAAAACTAAGACCATATAAGCTTTGACCATTTTAAGTTAGGTCACCAAAAATCTGGAATGCTGCAGAAAAATCTGAAATCGTCAGTACATATGTTTTTCGGCCTACCCTTTGCATCTGTGAAGAGTTTGTGCTGTTTGGACGCCTCTGTGAGAAGTTATGATTTTCGCGAAAATTGACAAATTAATTAATCTTGGCGTTTTCCATAGTAAACTCGATATACTATGGAAAAACTCTTGGTACTGATATTAAAATCTTCAAAAATGAACCCGTATTAAAAAAACGTATTTATACTTATATTGTAATTTGCTCAAAGATACTGCGATTTCATGTCCCATTCGGCCTAAGAGATCTGACCATTAAACAGTTCTGTATTTTGTGGTCAGCACTTAAGTAGCCGAGGAATATTTTGAAATTTATTAAGGGACAGGAATTGACAATGCAAAGTATCATAAAGTAAGCAATAGTCTTCTTCATTGATTTTATGTTTATGTTAGTGGTCCTCAATTTGCACTTGAGACATTTCGACACCAGCATGCTTTTTTGTTCAATCTAGTACATACTTGACATGGTTCAATGAACCATTCAACTCAATTCATCCCCCACCCCCTCCTCCTCCTCCCGAATCCTAAATTCCGGTCTCATGGAACTTTTTCCGACAGGCCACACTTGCCATTTGTCACTAAATATAATATCCAGAAAGTGGTGATTAACTGAGAGGTGATGGATTACCAGCGCGATACCATTCCTCTGAAACAAATAAATCAAATTGCCAAATTATTGCCCCTAAAAATCAAAATTTGTCGCTATTTTCCACCAACCATAGAAACAGATATGGCGCAAAGGTCTCGCTTGGAAGTATCTGGTTATTAGATTGGAAAGGAAATTATTGTCTTTTCTCAGACTAAAGAGATAACGGAGCTGAGCACGATGGGCAGCGAAGGAAAAAAAGAAATTTTTCGAGATGATTCTCAACCTTGACAATCACATGTTTTATTCAAAGTCTGAAGCAAATCTGAAGGTTACTCATACCAAAAAAAGGATCATTCCCTCGAAATTTCATCCTCAATCATCAAAAAAAATGAAATGTGAAATGGCAAACTCCGCTCTTTTTAGGCTTGTGATCTCAGTATATGCGCCCGACGTACTACAAACTTTAAAAAATTGAGCAGTAAAAGTATAATATTGTAAGTGTCTAGCTCCCGAGAAAGCCTATCGTAAATCAAAAATTCTGAAAATACGGCATTTTTTTCAACCTAATATCTGTTCTCCATAGGAATAAATCTAAAAATTTGAGAAACTCGAGTTTGTCCATTCATATTTGCTTTGATATGCAGATAAAAACGGGCTCAAAATTTTGGTGTCCTTATCTTTTCATGCCATTGCGTGCATTATCCTAAAAATGCTTGGAGGATTACATACTGAATTCTGGCTTCCAAAATGGCTATAGAATGTGGTTTCTTGGTGAACAATAATTTTATGATAAATCGATAATACAATAAAAAAGACGTATTATGCAGCGGAGTCAAAGTTTGAATGTTTTTTCACTACGCATCAACCGATTCATGTTTTCAAGGTAACAGTTCGTTTTAAAGTTTAAAAACAAGGAACATAGCAAAAAAACTCAGATGTTTCTCGGTAAGTTTTCTGTTACTGGAACCAATAGTCCTGATCTATTTGTTTGTTATTACTATTACGGCTTCCAAGAACGATTAACGGTTCCAGTCCATAATTATAAGTTTCTACAAAACATTGTTTTGAATCTGAAGACAAATTGCAACATTTTCGATTGCCTCCATAGAAGTAGTCATGCGGTCTTCTCATATCTTCAACTTATGTGCATACCTGACATTTCCACTGTAACGCATACCAGTTCTCTCGGTCACATTTCGCAAATTAGACATTAGAGCTGGCCTCGATACTCAGAAAAATACTGCGGCCAAAGTAATCTTCTTGCTAACTGCTAATCAAATGGAAATTGGGAACATGATGATTTAGAGTCTATGGAAATAGCTGGTGTAAAAATGATGGGATGAGTAGTCGGTTTGAATAGCGTCCACAAAAAAGAAAAAAGGAGATCTAAAAGAAAAAACCACAAATTTCTCTTTGTTTACCAACAACAGATAGAGGGAAAGTATGATTCAAGAATAATCTGATGTCACATTATCAAGTTCAATAGAAAAACCAAAAAAAATTTGTGAAAGTAATAGTTAAATGGGAAGCAAATAGAAACGACACGAAAAAAAATCTTTTCCATCAGTGAAGGAGGGATAAAGTCAGAGAAGAAAAGAGTTGTGGTTCATTTACTAACAATGAATTAATCAATGCATTAGAAATGACAGGTAATACAATGTCCTTGAGCGGAAAAAATCCCATGCTTGCAATGCCGACAGCATTTGCTCGTAAAATATGTTACTAGAGCGCGCATTTCCATCTTCTGCTCTATGGCCATTTTCCACGCGTAAGTGTTGTTGGCAATGCAGGTTCAACATATTAATCAGAACATTTGGTAAACATCTTCTACAAAATCCGCCATGTAAGCTTGTAAGGTTTTCAGATTTTTGCCTTTTTGAATTTTTTGCTAAAACTCTGATTAGCAGGAAATAGCAGGAAACTCCTTCGTATTTTACCTCGTGCAGCTCATTTCCATCTGCATCGTCTCTATAGAACATATTGAGCTGAGCAGTTCCCTTCGAATAGCGACCAACTAAAATTAACTTTTACAATACTGTTTCCGTCACAAAAAAACTTTTCTTTCACCTTCGAGTCCAACGCAGGCAGTGGGCACAGAGCTCATGGTAGTTTTTCCATTGGCAGACATAGCCTTTTCCAGGCTTGCAATCGTTCCAAATGTTTTGCGGACTACATGAGGATTGCCGTACATCTAATTGAAAATAAGAGAAAAATCTTTGACATATCGTACTTCGACTATTTGAACTTACCTGAGTCCATGCACCTTCCATCATCTTGATCCTGTGTGGAATACACTGTGGACATGCTTTGGTAGCTTCCCTCGATCGGGAAAAACCTCTTGAAGATTCTTTCGGCTCTCTGTGTTTTATCTTCCTAGAAACTTCTCTCTTAACAGTGTAGTTAGCTTCACACCAGAAATTTACCTCTTCATCTCGTTCATCGTTTTGAAGACGCCTTTGTCAATTACCGCTTCCTTATCCTTCGCAAGGACATTTTTCAGCGCTCTGTGCAAATAATTTCATTCAGATATGTAAGTGAGAGCTATACAGAGACTGATTATAGTCCATTGTGGACGAACGCCGTGGTCCCACAAGCTAAGCGGTGCGGTTGCGAAGGCGGCTCTGTTACCTCGCGGTGCGCTAAGCACAGTTTTGAGATACTAATAGTCGCTCGCACGCGACAGCTTAGCTTATCTGGACAACCAAATATGGCCTGCAATGAAAACTACCTCAACGTTTCACGTTCTTCTTCAGTCAACTCAGCTCCTTCTGTGCTCAGATCGATCCCATATTTTTCCTTGAAGTACTCTTTCAAATGTTGATTGTTGGTGATGACATCGTCGTCAGAGAAACCTCAATAAGACGGAAACATAGATAATCATGTTATAATGCATTCCGGAGTTGCCCGTGTGCCGGCGCTGTGCCAGCGCCGTTCCATAGCTTGATTATCCGGCACGACGCTGGAATTGCTTTGAAACGGCGGGCACGACTCTGGCACGAACTATTCTGATGAGAGCATACTGCGCTTAGGGGCTGGTGGTCCGTGCGTCTTCACTCCTCGGGCTTTTGCTGTGAGCACCTTAATAACTTTATAGAACTTGAGGCATTATTTTATTCCAAAAAACTCAGTACTAACTCGTCCTCCAACGGTGTTATCATTGTCGGTTCCTAGATCTTCCGTATAACCGTGACTGTTTTTGAGCTGCTTCAACTGCTCATTTATGACCTCTTGTTGCTGTTTTTGCATGAGAAGCTAAACTCGGAACTAGTTTCAACTTTTTCTTTGTACTTAGGCTGGACATACTGCAGCTCCAGCCTGATGATCGATCATAGCCTGTTGGTATCTCCGCTGTTGATCGAGGTATTCCATTTGTTTCGCATTATAGTTCGTAATTTCAGATTGATGGCGAGAGAGTTGCTGCAAAATTTTGAAATAAATAATAGTCAAAATGTATATAATGTCTCCAAATTGTTTACCGCTAAATATTGCTGGTTACGAATGGCATTGATGGACTCAGGTGAGCCACTTTCACCAGCCATAAGAAGAGGTAAGTTAGGTAAGCCCAAACCACTTTGAGGCATTGATCCGGCAAAGCTCTGCGATGGCATGGACATTTGCTGAGAAACGAAAATTAAAAAAAGTTGAATCGGTTCAGTAATTTCAGTGTCAACAGAACAATTTGCAGTGGCATGACAATAAGTTTTAAGCTACATCACCAAATTAACAAAAAAATGCATTTTGTCCACATGTTTATCACAAGCAACAGTTCACGGAAAATTGCTGAAAATATTTTTTTCTATAGAATTGTGCCTTGTAAACTGTTAAGGTGTTCCTCAACAAGAAAAAGGGGGCCGTTATCGTGACAAAGGGATTAGATAGAGTAATCTTATACTAGAAGAACGCATAAAGCAAATGCTAGTAATATTATGCGGATAAGTTGATGGTCAGATCAATGTAGAGAGATAATTTAGTAACTGTAATGTTTAATATTATTCTTTTAAAGGTCCAAAGGGTTTTTATTGCAAAGATAATCTTTTTGAGTGCTAACGGTGAGCAAGGCAAAATAGCAGCAATTGGTTTTATGCCTTAGGAAATTGCACAAATTGATGTTGAAAACTTTCTATGTTAATACTTTGAAGCAAGCTAAGAAACGAGGTGTGGCTAACCTGCCCTTGAGAACTGTATATAGAAGGTAATGATGGTACTTGTGGTTGATAAACAGCTGGATTCGATGGGCTCTGCTGGGACATTTGCGGTATGGCATTGTAATCCGATGCAACTTGTTGAGCTTAAATTATTCCATTATCGTTCTTGGGTTGGAGACTATGACTCTTTGATCTTCTCAGAATCTGTCGCCACTAGAAATTCGGAGTAGTTTGAAGCAAAGGAAGGGGAACTTACGTGAGTAATTATCTAAAGTTGCTTGTAGAGGAGAAATTGGTGCACGGCGAATCTAAACATGTGCAGAATAAAAAATATGATTTTTCGCTAATTTCAGCAGCAGTACTATCAGATTATTTGAATATGCACATTACTATATTTGCTACTTCGAACCATGGAAACTGGTTGATTTTATTAATCCTGAAGCAGTTCTGCAGCAGTAGTGATAAAGATTTTGGTGTGGAGATCAGGATAATAAGGAGCATTTTTGCGAAACAAATAAAATGTTTGAAATCGGTAATGTATTTTCCAAATGACAAAAACTGATGCCATCGTTACAATCTGCTTGACATACATATTAAAGTAGGAGATTTGATTAGACTAAACCATATTCAAATTAGTTCAGTGGTAGCATGCTCCATACAAAATCGAAAAAGCTAGAAGTTCCAAGCGAAACCTACATAAAATCAAAGCGCAGAGTCTTTAAAATGTTGAAATTGAGTCCTTATGCGGTAAAGTGTTTGTAGTAAGGACAACACAACAAAACTAACGTCGGGGCTCTTCTTCTCGACTCGATCCATTTCAGGGAACATGGACTTCACGAATGCTCCCGCCAAGTTCACTGCCAAGCGATCCACAACTACAAAATTATCCTTTTTTCTATAACTACCTCCAGATAAGTAGAATTGCTCTTTTTTCAAATAGTTACCACGTCAAAACAACCAGAACACAGGGAATCTCAAAGACGTGATAAAAAAAATTTTGACAACGTAATCCTTACTCTTTTCTCCTGGGGAGGATGTGCTCTCCTCTTCCTCTTCACTACTATGATGGTGATGTTTCTTAGCCCAGGCACAAAGAAATACAGCAAAAAGTAGCAGCCGCATTCTAAAAATTATTGAGGTGATTAGACAAGGTGGAAGGCGTTTTATTGACAGTTATCTCATTCTGATACGGTGATGAACACGTATGGAAGAAAAGGGGTGTTTTATTATATGTAGAGGTTCCAATCAGATGATCCACATATTTCTCAACAACTGATTGTGGGAGTAATATTGTTACCGTAATCTCTACATTAACAGACAAAATATTTTAAGAATACAAGATGTCAAATAATTAGATAACAAGAATAAGGAGCACGTTTTAGTAGCATTATCCCTCATATAGTCTGGCAACTCATTTAAACTTATAACTTGCTGAAGGAACTGGTTGAGTACAGATTGATGATAAGCTCAAAACTAACAATTGACGTTGATACCGAGCATTCCCAGACAAATGAAAACACGCCCCGCAATGTTTTCGTGAACTTCGTGAACTCGATGATGGGATAAATGTCAAAATATGTCTAATATGCTATAAAGAGAAATTTCGCGAAGTGAAAGGAGACAGCATCGATGAATGCAAGTGATATGTGATGGGTTGACCTCGTTTCTCACAATGCAACCGTATCCTGGTCATCCCTGAAATTTACATCAAGCTCGTACTCACATAGTACATGACTGGACAAGATTCAGTGCACATGGGTGTATGTAACATTTGGATATTCCGTCTCTTCTCTGAGAGGCGCTGAAGACTACGGATGAACTTTCTATTGCAGTCCAAAAGTATAACAAAATGATTCTCAAGAAAAAGAATTCGTAAAACAATTGCAACCATCATTAGCTATACTGGTACTGATATTACCTTGACAGATTGACGAATGGTTGAGCTGATGTCTATTTGTTGTATTATAAAAACAAATAATAATAATATGGGGATGAACCAGAAGATTCCTGAAACTTTATCTCATAACCTGCGGCTCTTATATCTGAGAGCAAAATTCTGGTACTGACATTATGAACGCAGAAATCTTCAGTTTACATGATTTACTTGCACTCCACAAGCGGTCCTTCCGCGCAAGTATTGTTGCCACCGCAGTGGCGGTGTTAATTATGTTCACAATCGTATGTTCACGGTGGCATAGTCATTCATTTTGAGGTAGTCAGGGACTGTTGCTATAGTATGTTGCTATAGTATGCATTGCAAAACAAGTATTTCAACTTTTACTCAAACACGATTTTGCACATCTGTATTATTTTCAGACCTAAGACCACTTCACAGGCACATTCAGTGCTATTGCTAGAAATATGTTTCTTGAAGGATGTTGAAGCACCAGGAAGCTACTTTACTTCTTCAACCGAAACATATATTTTATGCATTTTTGAAGATGCATCCAACGGATTTTGATGTGAGAATTTGTGCACTTCTTGCAGTTCTCCTAAACGGCCAGTCATCAGGTCAGATTGATTAGATCTGCTCACTTGGATTGTTTTTTTGAGCAACAAAGACAGCTTACCTGCTTTCCTTGAAAAATGGTAGCTACGCTTCCTTTCTGTCCATTATTTTTCTCAAGTAGTCAATTCGTTTGATTGACATTCTGATGTTGTTCTGATGTTCTCTGCGGGCCTTACAACTATCATACTGTTCTTTTTACAGTCAGTAGGGTTGGTTCTTTTCTTTCTTACAAATTGTGGCTTGCATTTTTGCGTAGATAAAACTAAACAATCCTCTTTTTGCCATTGTTGTTTAAGAGTTAATCCAATGTTTTCCTGTAAGATATGAGAAGGAAATATATCTAAACATGTTCGGACCGTAACATTTCACGGCTTTACTTTTCACTATTATGATTGTTTTTTGCTTGTACTCAAATAAAATTGTACTGCAGAATTGATAAAATTCGTTTCGTTATGCTGTGCATCCAAATCTTTCAAATTTTCCTTGAATTCGCAAGATTTTCTTTGAAGGACTTAGTAGACAAAAAATTAATACTATTTTCTGCCTTTTTGGTGTATTTCTGATTTTTGGTGTGTGCTAGTGATATCTGCTCACTTCACGTTATTTACTTTTCTAGTCAACAAAGTATTGTTGAACATTGAACACTGATTACAAGCCATATCACTTGTAACCATACATGGCAATAATCCTAGTAGTTTCATTTCGTTTTCGACGGCCATTTGTAATAAGATAACGAGCGCTATCCTACATTTGCAGCTGTTTTGAGTATAGTCTTCGCACCTTATTAGTCTCGTTTCTGAACAATTCAAGCTCAAGCAATTTTTGCTAGCATTTTATATCAATTTTGCGTAAAAGTTTTCTTGCAGGCTTTGGCTCCAAAGATTTTTTGTAACTAATCTATTTTTCTTTCTGATTTTCGGCAGAATGAATGTTTTCCTTTATAACACTTAAAACTTCTCAAGCCTTTCTGACAGAGAATAGTTCTCAAGAAACGGCATTATAGACTTTGGGGTTTGAGACCAATTAGAATCTTTTGAAATGCTGCCAATATACCTAAAGCAGTAAATCCAACTCGAGAAGATTTGGCTAAACGCTAGGTCAAGTTTTGTCTTCGAGATGGTTTCTTGAATAAAGATGTGGAAACTCTAGGACTTTCTGGCATAACAAATTTTTCAGTTTCCTTGTTTTGAAAACGGTATCAAAACTTGTTCCTGCATGACAAAATCTTATAAGCTGATTAAAGTGCGCTCTAATTTAGATTAATATTCTTCAGAAACTTGGCGTAAAACTTTAAAAGAGACGATTAGATAAAAATCTAGCCTTTATCGCGAATCTCGAAAAAAAAACTTTGCATTATTTAGACTCAACATCCCTGTTCTTTTTTACAACACACTCATTTAGAGCACCATATTCTTTTAAATACATTGGAAGGAGGTTCCGATTTTAATCGGTATTTGAAGCAGTATTCTCTCCTGCTACTATGTTATTGCTGCGTAGTAATATTGTCAACAAGCGACTTTGACCCATATAAAAACTAGTTCAGTTTCGCACCCCAAGCTAGTCATTGTTTGTGAACGTCTTTTGAACCTTATCTTGTGTATAATCGTACATTCTGCACTGTTTTTTTCCTATTAGAATACTGTCTAGACTCTTCACTGATCGCTGATGACTGCCGAAGAGACGCTTCGAAATGAGCTATCAGATGTTCTTTGTCCAGAGCACGATACGCATTTTCATTTGCAGAGATGGCTTGTCGGCTATGATGGGGTCGGTAAATAACTTTTATGACATCATAATTATAGTTGGAAATTACTGTTTTTAAGTCAGTGCATTTTTTCTGCATTTCTGAGAATCTTTACATCGCATTTCTGAAGCAGATTAATTATTTATTATCGTATTTTCATGCTTTTGGGCTTAGTATCAATCTAGTGGCCAACTTCTAGTAAACTGCCTTGCAATCCGTAAAAAAAGCTTCTTTCTAATCATGCAGTATTCTTCACTAAGTAGCCCTGCTTTTTCTCGTTTAAAGTTTTCATATTCTTTTGATTTCGCCCACCAAATCTTTCTTTTATCACCGATGGAGTTACAAGAAGTCACTGATAGGGATCTAATATGTAAAGAATCGCAAAGTGCACTCAAAAATCTTCAGAGAGCGGGAAACCGAGCGGGTCTCGAAGCGAGCGCGCCTGCAACTAGCACCTTGGAGAGTACTGCTTCACTAGCTAGAAATAAAATTTCGTCCAATCGAAAATTATCGTGGAACAATCCCCTTATAATTGCAGCAATATTTTGTTCGAGTGGGGATAAACTGTGAATTGGCTATGATTTATCTTTCAGGATGTGGACAGAGCAGCCGCAAAGTACAGAGAGTATACAAAAATTAGGAAGTGCCTGGGATTTGACGACTTTAACAATGTAAAGAGGGCTTACTATGACAAGGCAAGGATTTTAGATCGCAAACAATCTGCTGAATTTAATGTTACCTGATTTTTATATCTTATTGCAGAAGAACTGCGCTAGATTCATGAGACTGTCGAAATTAACGTCTGAATGGGTGAACGAAAAGGACAATGGAATTATATTCGCAGAAATGAATATAGACGATCCCAAAAAGGTATGGAATTGCCTATTTGCTGTGCATCTAGCTTGCATTTACAAACAGTATTTAGTTCTTGAAAGCTGTCGGTGTGGGAGAATATTTGCGTTCATTTTTTGCATACTGCGAACATTTTCAACAGTTGGTACTGGAGCGAGAAAAGAAAACTGGAAAGCAATCACATGGTCTGTCTTTCAAAATTCGTTAGAATTTTCAGCACAGCATATTTTGGCCCAAGGATCATTTCTTGTACATGATTTTATTTTAGGGATCGGCATATTTGATATGAAAGGGATAACAATCACCCCATACTTGTTTCCAACGAGTGCTATCAATTGCCTTATGCAGGTAAGGTTTGATGTTTTTCACTGTAGGCAACACTTTCGCGAAAAAAAATGGCCACGGACGCAGAACTCGAAAGTATGCGCGCCTGAGCCATCTTTTACGCGCAAGTGTTGTCGTAACCGAAAGGGCACACATTAACAGCCAAATCTACTGGATTATTTGCAGTCTCTTGAGTCGTTAGACAGTGAACAATAAATTTCGCATGTATTTAGGCTCGAGTTAATATCTGGCTTGACTACTACACGGAGATACTAAAGAGCGTCATCATCGTGAATCCTCCAATATTTGTAGCCCTTGCCTACAAGGTAATTGTTATGTTTTTCATCGGGAGATTTATTACTTGATTTGTGTGCCTGCACACTATGCACGGCAACTGACGACATCCATACTAGTGACTCCTCAGTAGAAAAGAAAACACTGGGAACGGGCACTTTTTAGTCTTACAGTCGTGAAGTAGCGCACATAGTGTGCAGTGCGCATATCAAATTATAGACGACTCGACAATATATACGTAAATCGACTCATTTCTTATTTCACTATTTTATTTCACTACTTATAATTTATTCATATTTGATATCAGGTATTGTCCATTTTACTGCCTGCAAAAGTTCATGATCGATTCCACTTCGCTAACGTAAATAGCCTGCCACAGTACTTGAGGTAATTAATAGTTCTCTTTGACTGAAAAGCAAAATCCCGATGTTCAGCTTAAACGCGATTCCTCCGGCTTTTTCTGGGACCTGCACTATTTCTAGCGATTTAGATAATGGATGTAATAATGCAGTGAAAATTACTGAGGCTGATTATAAGGTAGGAAGCATCGTCAAAATGGAAGATATTTAGTTCGAAACTGAAACTTTGGAATAACACTTCCAGAAAGAAGGGTCACTATGGAAAGCTAATGGTCTTGTGCCAAATGAGATTCAGCGAAGCGTGAAAGCCGGTGGTGAACTTTTTGAGGAACTGCCAACAGGAGGAAGAAGAAGAATGATATATCAATACAAAGTTAATGTCGATTCTCAGATCTGGTTTCAACAAGGTACGTAGCCCAAGTAAGCTTTGATAGACTCAGCGGTTAACATAGTGCGATAGCGGTGACGACAACATTTGCGCGTAAAAAATAGAGAAGCCGCTATCGCAGTCTTTGGAGCAGATGTTGTAGGCGACACAAACGCACTATATTTACCTTCAGTTGAAGTAGAAAGAATATTTCGCACATTTAAAGAGAAAAGTGTTTGCTTTTTTTTGCAGGAGGTACTGACCTGACACCCAGATTCATGATGACGACACCAAAGCTTGCCGAGGAAGAGATAGTAGAATTGAATTCTGATCAACCTGTTATTCTTTGTGTACGCAACTGCAGCCGATATTTCTCAGCAAAAGTAAATTTTTCTGTAGCTTTCTTATGAGTTCCGAACGGGTATGTAATTATGAATAAACAGTATATTCTTGAACACATGGGTTGTAATTGTTCTTATATGTAGAATAAACGTGAGTCTAGTTGTAAAAAAATTTCAAGCAAGCACGCAGAACATTGAAAGGGTAGATAATTTAGAGTTGTGATTTTGCGCTTTAGAAAAGCTGTTGAAAAGGAAGATGCTTAGCATTCGGCGTTCAGGTGATAGACCTTAACGACATTATGTTCAGACTTTATGTTAGATGTTTGTACATATCCTCTGTTGAGTGATCAAGACAGTAAGGAAAAATCCGCTTCTTTACTTTTTGAACACCGTTACATACATCAAAGCTTCAATCTTCTATCATCAGGGCTTGGCAATTTCGTTTGTGATTCTAATCCCAAGTAGCTGGCAGAACTCGCTCGCAACTCTACCTGTAAAAAAATGTGAATGGACTTATGGAAGCTATGCTAAGGCAGCTAAAACTTTTTAGTGCTTTTTTTAATTGTTGTAACATAGTTTCAATTCCATCATGTGTACTTAGATTTATCTACTAACTGACAAATATTAGGTTACATTCGATTTGAGCTTTACTGGCTGCATCCGAAGTCCCGTGTGCTCGAGCTGTGCCAACGCCGTGCCAGTGCCGTGCTAGCGCCGAAACGTAGCGGGTTCTGGCGCAGAGTTAGTATGACGCTGGCACTGTTTATTTACTCTAACTGCAGCCATGCAGTGAAGATTGGAAACTCGTGGTAAACTGAATATTACAATAACAGTTTGGAACAGGTGTAATAGGCCAATGTAACTATTAGGTTGGAGCAAAAGTAATGCGCATTTTCTAGCCCTGGTTTCAGGGCAACTTTTTTCCACCAAACTTCTTTCTTTGGAAAAGGACCAGACCACTATCAGGAAGCTCTTTTCATGCTCTATCCAAAGGTTGTTGAAACAATCTTCTAGCCTCATTGTAAAAAATTTACACAGCTTTATACAACTGCATTCAAAACCAGAATTTTATTGCATTCACTTTTCTGGTCAGGACTCAAATGCGAACTAAGGTTTTTTTTCGAAAGTTCAGATTTTGTATGCAATAGAAGTTGTCCACATTATGTACAGTTCACTACATACTTTCTCAAAAACTACCTAGCCTGAGATATCGGCGCCTCATGGGTAGTCGTTAAAGTCATTCTCTGGCCCATAAAATTCTTTTGAAGTAGGCAATCGCAAAAGCTTTGCTCATTTCTGCAAGCGTAAGGGTAGGCCTCCTGCTGAAAGTTTTTACAAGAACGTTTAGCTGTTAAAAATCAAAAAAAACTTCAGATTTGTGGACTTTGTGGCTTACGAAAAAATGTTGAAAAAAGCTGACTATTTTGGATCCTGAATTTTTCTTCACGCAAGTCTTCTTTGTTTTTGTCCAAACCTTTTGTTACTATTAAATTGCGGCTACAAGATAAGCTAATTTTCATGTGTACAAACGAATTTTGAAGAGAGTTATGATTAGCTAAAATTGAGATTTCGGACAAAAAAAAACTTTTTTTGCTTATCAACGGATATTTTTCTGCCCATGTGTGATATGAGTGTAGCTGGTGTACGCTGTATTGCGAAAGGTTTGCTGCATCTGATGGTCTTTATTGCATCCAAAAATGTAGATCAGAAAGTTATGGCACGTCAAAAAGAAAACTTGCAAAACGCGCATTACTTTTGCACCAACCCAGTACATAGCACGAGCAAATTTGGGTACAATCTTTGATTATGCAATCTTCACGTCTTCAGTTAGTATCGTGGCCATTGTCTAAGCTTCCCGACAATTTGGTATGAGTTTCTTATGTGATTACGGAGTGTGAGTTGTACAGTATATGGAATTTGTTGAGGAGAAGCTAATTTTCGCCCTGCTGCTAAGAACCGATGAATGAAAGGGATATTGAAACATGAATAAGAATAACTGCTTTCAACTGCTTTGGCGCTGTTCGCCTTCTACCAGCTGATGTTTACAAACTTATTTATTCAGTAATGGATTCTCCTCGCCCACCGCCTGACTCTGCTTAACGTTTACGCTGAAATCGTATGTGACGTGCTTTCGCCAAGCCCTCTCTATACATCTACTCGCCAAGAAAGGACCTTTGGTCCTGACAGTTTTGCAAAAAAAAACCTGGTGCTATAGTCAAACTACAGAACGAACCTATCAAGAATAAGCTTAGCAGGTGTTTGAGGAAAGGCCTATTTCTTTTTTGTTTCTTTAAAAGCACCGTCCATTCGACACTCGACTTCCATGTTTTGATCAGTCCGGGGCCTTTCATGTCCCTTCCGAATATGAAGTCGAGAATCCTCGAAAACCCCAAAAATCCCCGTTCGAGAACCCACATGCCGGCTTTCCGGAACAGTGATTGGTTGGGCGCGCACGGATGGGCGGGCATTACTAAAGGGGGCGGTGCCAATTTGGGGTCCTCATGCGTCTTCGCTATTCCAAAGCGATTTTCTCGCTTCAGAAACGACATTTTGCGCCGCGGCTTGGGCATTGGCTTCATAGGGGGTCCTACTATTATAAGCTGCCAAAAGCTCAAGGCCCCTAACTTAGGGTGGACGGTGCTTTCAAATAAACTTCACCCATTGTAACAATTATCGCGTTACGATCGCTTGAATTGTCAGCAATGAAGAGTAACGGCCCATTTTACAAAGAAAAATGAAATAAACCCACCTTCTTTTCTACAGAAGGCTGGAGGAAATAGTCAACAGTTTCGCTGATATACAAATAATATCTATGTATAATTGCAAAAGCGAATAATTTGAGCACAGTATAGAAGACACAAATGGAAACTTTCACAGGCACCATGGTTCGGAAAAATAACAGCTTTTCATCAATTTCTGTAAAGAAAGTGGTGTCACAGGGAATGTAGTCAACAGCTGTACGTCATCTCGCCAGCTTCAAAACAAATCCTAGACTTACCTTCCCAATCCATCAAATTTATAATAGCTACTACTATCAGAAACATGAAGTAGATGATTATTCTCACAGCAAGACCAAACAAGTAGATAGCAATGAATAATAGGCGAAACTCTTTGAGCCCTTTTGTTAGAAATATGACGAATACTGTAAATTTATAACATCTACGAAATGAAAATCATACTTACGAAGCACTTAAAGCCTTACTTATCTGCAGGAAAGTAAATATAAATCCAATAATAATTATTATTTGTGGGAATCCGTTTGTCACGGTTTGAGCGGCCCAATAAGAAAGCTGTGATGTTATCCAAACCATCTCTCCGTAAGCCAACCATAACACTCCGGTCTAAATCAATAATTTCAGAATTTGTCAAAGTTTCAAATACTAATCGAAAACCTTACTCTCAAATACATTACTCGAAGGCAACATAGTGACGATGGTAGCTCACGCTCATGAGGATAAACACCAAAAGAGTGTGGAGAAATAGACCTTTCTTTGGGCATGCTCATCTGGAATTTTTCGGAACCTATGTAAACAAAGAGACTAAAAAATATTTTTAAAAAATTTTGCTGATTCTAAGAAAAGGAAGCATTATAGCATTCAAAGCACATACGGAGTTGTTGAGAGTACGAGAAAGTGTTTCTTCTTGAAGCTTAGCAAGAAAGAATTTAGGCAATGTGAGAGCAGAACACTTTCTTTAATCAAAGGGACTTTTAGTTTATACCTCAAACAATATTTGGAAAAACATTCAAATGCTTTCAAAAGCTCTCTTGGTTGTGTTTAAGATGAATGCAAAAATTGGAAACACCTCGAAAGTGTACCCTTGCTTAAAAGTACCTTCACGCAATTACCAAAGCACAAGACACCGAAAATAGAAAGAATTTCATGAAAATGAAAGCAAATGCATAAAAACTAGGAAAAAACAGCTTCCTCTCTTCCAACACCAGCGCTACAAAACATATAAAAAACGCGCACTTATTGAGATATTCATTTACAAAAACTCCATAAAGACTGTTATTCCACGATTGAGTGTGTAAGTATCTAACCATTATATTAGGTTGATTCATAATTAATGCACGTTTTCTATACTTCAAATTTCGACCAAGATAATTCTTTTTTCAAGAAACATATCTGGGCGCAACAAAAACTGCTGTAACCACCAAATCAGTGGCTATAAAACAGATACTTTTGCGTGACTGTATCTAACACAAAAAAGATTTTCTGGCCCGAAGAGTGCCAACAACTTTTTTCAGAAGCCTTTAATTTGAGAGAGCATAATTTATGTTTAAATGAAGTAGGATAAAGCAGACTTCGCTTATCGTGTAGCCAAGGGTCTCTTGAGCAGTAATGCCAAGCTTGAATTTTGCGGAAAAAATGTAGAAGAAAATATCGCGAAAAAGACGAAAGTACTCACTTTTTTCTGGCATCTCGGCGGGTTCAAAAATCGATCATTTTTGAATTTATTTCATTTATCTCCGCTAAAAAGTGGGAAAACCCTAGCGCTTTTCTACAAACAAATGAACTAGGTCTACCCTTGCTTAATAGTGCAAAAGACCTGCAATCGCCAATTGCTTGAAAGTTTTATATGCCACGAAAGGGCCGCGACCATTATTAAAGTTCGCAAATGAATTTCTCGGCTCAGAATTCATGGAAAATTTTGTTCAAAAAGCATCTTGTAGCGCAAAGTTCCCTAATCCTTATGCATATTTTCTATATTCAATTCGGCTATTCCTCATGGATTTAGAGCAAAAAGAGTGAAAAGCAAAAATTTTGGGATTTAGTCTTTTTATTTGAAGGCTCAGAACATTGGAATGAACGGAGATGTACGAAAGCGAAGGCCCACATAAGAAACTAGAAAAAACGCTCTTTTAGAATGCGTAAAAAGTTTTTGAGGGAATTGATTACACGTCAAATACCAGCTCTTGGAAGAAGAGGTAAGAAAAACGTGCATTAATTATGAATCAACCTAATATTAGGTCGTTTCAAAAGTAATTTCGCTTTTTTCAAACGAGCGCCACATTTGATGGAACAAAGGTTTCTGAGAGATCTTGGAGGCATTCGATGCAGAATTTCATTCTCTTTCTAAAGGTCATGGAAATGTGCAAAACAGTCAATGAGCTTTCAGAAAATAACCAAAACTTGCGATCCATGCTTTTTAAGATGGTCAAGTTTCACAATTTTTTAAAACTTTTATATCAATCCTCAGAAGAAGTTCAAGTAACGATTCGATAGAGTAAACCTCATAGAATACAGTGCTACTCTTTCCTCTTTCTCACAGCTCGCCGTAATTTTTTAAAAGATTTTTTAATAGAGCCATCGGATTTCGGCAGGCCCACCTCAGCCACAATCGCAGCAAACACCAAAATTTTTCGGAATTTGAGACTACCAAGGCTGTACTATGAGGTAGCACTAACTTTGCAAAGCAAGTGAGGGTTTACGGGTTCGAAATATCAAATTTCGTGATTTTCAGGTACAGCATTAGGCTCCTTGAAAAAATGAATTATGATGATTTTATCCTCGAAAACTGAAAGAATCGGAAACAAAAACCACCTGTTAGAAAGAGGAGAAGATGCTGCATCGAATAGTACCCTAGCTGTTCTCCTTTTGACGAGGATTTAGCTGCTCAAGTATGAAAATCGGTAGCATCAATTAAATTCTGTCAAAATTGTATGACAAGCTATGGAAAAAAAGTAGATTTGCATTCTATATGATTTGCTCTATCGAACACTTACTAGAACTTCTTCTGAGGTTTGATGTGAAAGTTTTAAAAAATTGTGGAACTAGACTATCTCAAAAAGCATGGGTCGCAGACTTTGGTTATTTTCTGAAAGCTCATTGACTGCTTTGCAACACTCCCATAACCATTAGAAAGAGAATAAAATTCTGCATCGAATGCTTCCAAGATCTCTCAGAAATCTTTGTTTCCTAAAATGTGGTGCCCGTTTGAAAAAAGCGAAATTACTTTTGAAACGACCCAATATTAAAGAGTTTTGGGCTCAAGATCTCCAAGAGCATCTTTCTTGAAAGCTTTAAACTATGTCTTTTTTAGCGTAGTTTTCAACGAGGCAGAAAATGGAACAAATATTAGTGAAAAATAAAGTAGAGAGCTTGGCTGCTAATGTAGTTGATATTTCTTACAAGCACTTGTGCATGCTTAGAAGATTGCGGAAACGGCTGAGCGGGCATTTGTTCTTTTCGCGGTGAGATAATACTTTAGATCTTTTTGAAACGTTGTAACATACTTCATATTCCAAGTCACCTAGCGAATTCCGGGTTCACGGAACAGCAGAGGAAACAAAATTATTTACACTCATCATATGTCTTCAACCGATGCGTGAAGCTATTTCGGAATTTTATGACTACCAGTTAAGTTAATTTGATTTCTATTTTTTCGTAAATTATGTGTCTGTGGAATTATATGCAAATTGTATGATTACATAGTTAACAATCTGCAATTTTTTACAGCATGTAATTTGTCTTTTTCTTGCATTTGATTCGTTGGTGCTTCTAATGCTCTATGAACAAGATGTAGGAATTTCTACAGGAGAAGTATAAGTATGGATTTGATGATCTAGACAGCTTTCTGCGTATTCAAGGAATTTTACTATTTCTTGATTAATTGTTCTCTGAAAGATAGCCAGTACAGGTAAGGTTGGCGATTTCGAGGGAGGAAAATGCTTTGTGAAGCGAGAAATTGAAAAGTCCACAGACGGTTTCCCTAGCCAAATTATAATGTGCTGTGTTAGACTGACGCAAACCATTCTGCGATTTTTTAATGTACAAGCAAACCAAAAATATGCAGTAGACAACGATAGAAGCAGCTCAGAAATTCAAGGAGCTTAGGAACTAGCCGGAATTACAATTTATTTATGATGTTAAAAACCAACAGATTTGAACGCCTGTCTTTGACACTTTAGTAGAGGCCAGTTCTGCATCAACACGACAAAAACGCCACGAGTTCTTTATGAAGTCGCTTTTAACACGCAATTGGGAAAAAATCTGGCTCAGCTGGCAACAAGCTCCTTTTGCTGGCAGTATTTTGTGCAGCAGCTTTGATTAAACTAAAGTAAGATTAGTTTTGTTTTCGCTTGCTCCCAGAGAAAGTCACAGTTACAGCTGCGGCATCCAATTATATGCATGCAAATTGGATCAGAAGGACGAAAAAACAAAATAGCTCCTACATGGCTATTTCTTTTATATCAACGTAAAAATGCTTTACCGAGTTTTTCTTTTTGCTCTGTAGCTTTTACTTTATTTAGTTTATGATCTAACATATGATTCACCATAGTATTTACTACAGCTAATTCACTACAAACAAACGACTTGATTACCATTACATCAAATGACCAGATATTATAACTACAGTTGCTTCCATAAACATGAAAATGTCCCAATTTGTCCCAATTTTTCTATATGGTTGTATTTTATATATTATATATAACAGGGGATCAAGATTGTATGCTACGGATCAAGATTTTCAATATGTAAGTTATACTCAGTCTACAACTTCAATTCTGACGATATTGAACAAAAAATTTTCAAACAAAAGAAATTTCTAACGGACTCTTCTTCCTGAGGAGTTCCGAAAAGAGCCCGGACTTCCTATACCTCATCTATGGGCAGGAACGAAACGGAGCTACATAGGATATTTCTTTTACAAAGTTGATTTTATATATAATTATACCACATTGTATACTTTTGTTTACTACTATTTCTAATGATAGTGCCAATTTTGAATCGTTTTTTACCTTTGATGTCATAGCTGTAATTGCATGAGCACAGGAGTCGAGCATGCTTTCGATGAGCGGCATATTTGAAGACTGACTAGGTCGAAACTCACATCACCGAGTCCTCGTAGCCAATGTAATTCATCAAGTGGTTAATAATTCTGGGAGCGAAAACTGCTGACAAACACATCAAATGGCCAAAAATTGTCAGATAGCGATGTCAAGCTCTAGCTGAAGTTGTCGATGCCATAGTGGGACCACTCCTCCCTCCCCCCCCCCCCTCCCTCCCCCCCTTCAAACACATTGAAATTTGATCTAGCGTTCTTCGAGCAATTTTTTATTCCAATACAATAGATAACAATCATGGCACATTTTGACATTTACCAGTATTCTTCCACCACGTATCAATATCATTATAAATTTTCCTTGGAGGTGATTGCACGAATGAGCACAGTTGACAGTAGAAGTCTGAGCTAACAACCCGTCCAAAACTCTAAAAAATAATTACGAAAAACAAATAAAAGCAATGTAACATGTAGCAGATATAGTGTGCACATAAACATCAAAAAGTAATTCTCAGGTAGGGTAGAAAATCATTAATGAAGACAACAATGTCGTGAAACGGAAAGTGGACTGACCTTCCAAGCAAAGTATTCATTGTAAGCGGTATCATTCTTATCGAGGTAGAGCAAATATCTATAATAATCAAGTGAAGCGATCTATCGATTGTGTATTCTTTCCACCGATTTCCCAATGTTTATTCAAGTTTATAAAAATTTCTCAGCAAGAGGCTACATTACATACGATTTTTAGAAATCGGAATAACAAAATCTAATATTTCATGAGGGTACTTCTACTTTTTTCATTCTTAAAACAAATTTTCTCGCGATGCATGACGCAGAACTTTTTTATTTGAAGAAGAAGTGATGGGATTCGCGAAACATCATAATTTACTCAAGGATTTTCATTTTTTTTTTGTGAATGAATGTGAATTTGCGAACTCGCCAAAATTGAATATCCACTCTTATTTCTCTTAGAAACAAACTTATGCTCGAATAGTAGTTACTAAATCGAGGAAGAACAGAAATGTTTCCGTTTTACTTCCAAGAAACTTTCAAAATTCAGGCAATTCTGATAAAAAATTCGAGAAATGCAGAAACTAGACCAAGCCTTACTTTGTGATTCTTAGATCTTAAAAAGCTCTACGAAATTCAAGATATAGTGAATCCTTGTAACGAGAAGGCACATATGTATAAAGCAGCCAAAAGTACGATATTCTCTTTTTCCATCAGTTTATAAAATTCAACGAAATGGGAACTTTTGTTCCAACCATATCTTAACGCGTAAGAACCCAATACTTTCTTTTGGTACAACTCAAATCACGACAACTTTCTCAGTTTACCAATTATTTCCATTCCCAAGATTTTTGTATTTGACCTATTTTTAAAATCTTTGAGAAGACCACATAACATACTGAGCAAGTTGTGGAGGTTCATAATCGTCGACATGAATAAAAGAATGAGGAGGAGCCACAGCCATGTAATCACTTTTCGGAGCACCCATCACAATCGGAACAGCATTATTGCTGGAAAAAATGATTTATGCATAGATTTCACTTGTAATACTTTGAATCTTGAAGAGATATGGACACTAAGGATGTTTTTGTTCAGAAAACGAACCCAAAAGGATTCAAGTTTTTCAGTGTTTTTTCTGCGATCTCAAAGCATTCACCGTGCTACCGAATTAATGCGGTAGGTGCACGGTATGTACAGCAGACATGTACACTGAATTACGAACGAAGTAAATATAACCTAGTTTCTTTTTCACTGCCGCAAAACTGACCTTACTTCCAAGAAAAAACTTGTGGGCTAGAAATGCGGTTCATTTGCTTTCCCCAACTATTAATCAATCATTGAAAAAAAAGCTCGGACTACCTGAGAGCATTGATCCAGAACTTTTCGCTGATATACTGACGACAGTTGCTGTTTTCGAAAGCAAGGTAGAATTTGTAATTTTTGATCAAGCGATGGAGATCCTTTCTTGGCACGCTACCTTTCCCGCATTCGCCGTAGATATCTACCTGAATACCTTTATCAGAAAAACTTATGTAAAAAATGTCCAGTTTGATGAACAAGCAACGCCTTCCGCAATGAGACAGGAGGTGAAAAAGAGATCATAACATAATAATATAAACTGGCGATTAAATACCTGCATGAATTCCGAAAGACGTTTAGCAAAAAGCATCCTGTTGTTGTTTGTCAAACAGTTTGATACTAGCCATACCGCTAGGCCAGATTTGCCTAAAATCCATATATTTTGTTCTACCTTTATCACAATTCGAAAAATGTAGCTCAAAATGAAACCTGCCTTTAGCATAGTTTACAAAACGTTTTTTCTTTACTTTTTGAAATGGCTTATATAACCCGTAAGGCAGGTAGATATCACTATCGCGGTGATAGCTTGCTGTGTAGTTGATCTAAAAAAATGTTATATTTTCATTTGATCAAATGGTAAAATAATTTAGAAATTTTGCACGTTTAGGCTCTAGAAATTGTTTGATTGTTAAGACTTGTCTTTTATAGCACTTCTCCAAACTTCTTATCCTGGTTTTTTTGGAAGAAGACAGAAAAAATGACCAAATAAAATATGGATATATGATACGAAATCAGAAAACAATATAAAATACAGAGGAAAATAAAAACAAATATGATAAATGGTAAATACAACGACTGCTATAACTCAAGCGAAGTATAGCATTCCTAGTTAGGAACTGGGAAAACAAAAATTAGCACAAATTCGCAAAAAAGCGACGTTCGCTACATTTTCAAAATCTCGTATTACCTGTGCCATATAATTTCGCAAAAATTTCGTATTCTCCGGACTTTCCATAAGACGGATGATCCAGACTTGACTTTTTGAGCGTTTTTGCGGAGGTTTCCATTCCGAGTTTTCCCCAAATAAAATCACATCAGCAGTGTGCTTGTGAAGTTCTGAAATTTTGCTATTGAGCAGGTGATTTTCTAGGTGAGATCCTAGATATCATAGCTATTACATTCGTTACCTGATTTCGTTAGTACACAATTTCTAATGGGGCAGCCATTTTTGTGGAAAACCGTAAATCCGGACGGTATGCCAGGATTGGAATCAGGTGGATGATAGATGACTACTGGACGTTCTCGCATCTGAAAATGCTACATTTCTTGCTTTGATTTAAAAAATTGAGGGAAAATAAATTATTTTGTTTATATTCATATACCCAGAAAGATACTCGCAGTTTCCTTTAATTTCTGCGATTACTCAAAAAACTGAACAGGCACAAACTACAAGCTGTTCGATGACGAGGTTCCGTTCCGTGCGAGCAAATCAGCAAAGCTGATAATCCTCTTTTGCCAATATGACCGAAGGATTTTCTTTGCATGAAAAAGTACGAAAACCGTTACACATACATAAAAGCTTGTCTTCCCAGTGTTTGAAAACTTCAGCATGTTTTATTGAGATCGAACTTCATGGGCCTTAGCCGTACACCCGATGTGGAATTAAATCAGCTAAAACACTTTTTGTGGCATTCATTACTGGTATTCATAATATCTTCGCTGCAGTGGCGTACCCAGGATTTCGGCTCGGGGGGGGGGGCGGCAAAAAAATTTTTTAATTGAAGGTGCGCGGCGTCAGCCACGCACTCCGAAAAAAATTTGGGGATTGCCCTATTCACACCAGACCTCACTTGCAGTGCTTACAAGAATGTTTCAAAATTATGTGAGCATGTGATTTATTAAATAAAAAAATCATTACTTTTATAATCTAAATTTAGTGGAAAAATGGATGATCAAATTCGACAATGGTCAGATGCCTTGACAGAAAAGTTTCCGGTTTCTTGCTGGTCAAAAAAACGCGTCCGTCTCCGCATTGTCGGTACATACGTAGGATCAACAAAAAAAAATCATGACAATTCTCTTGTGTGAAAACTACTCGTAGGTTAATTACAAGTAGTAACTATAGATCTCTGTATATTTGTTACTTCAAAAATGAGTACAAACTCACCTTGAAGGAAGCTGCTCCTACAGCTTGATGTGATGGTGAGATGTGATGAATAGATGTATACCGATGCAAAAATAGAATGGCTATGAATATAGCAAAACCAATTAAAGCATAATTTTTGGCTATGTAGGAATGGCGCTGCATGACATCTGAGAAAAAAGAAAAGGCAGAAATTCAAGTAATGGCACAATGGTTGATGCACATTTCTTGCACCAAAAATTAGAAGAAATTCGTTCTAGAAATATTGAATAAAATAATCAATTTGCGCAATGCCCTTTGTTATGTATATCAGAAGTAGTAATTTGGAAGTACATCTTAGAAAACCATTACGAAACAAAATCAATTAGATTTAAAAATTCGAAATTCGTAACGATTTGTAGAGGCGTCCGATCGGTACACCTCCTCTTAGTCAAAAAGAGTAAGTCATAAAACCAAGACAAAAAATAAATTTAGATTTCGATGAGCGTTTTAACGAATTTTGCCATAAAAATTGAAAGATCGCTTCTTGGGTATTTTTCTTAAACATAAGTAAAAATCTTAATCAATCATCTCAATCATAAATCTTTGCCATATGCCCGTAATTTTGACTCAATTACTCACAGAAAGCGCAAGATTTTATCTCTCTATTATGTCTAAAATCGAAAGTTCCACTAAAGCTAAAAAACTAACAGAATCTCAAAATTTTTGGTGCAAGCATTATGCATCAATCTGATATATACGATTTGTAGTATACAGCATTGCTGCTGAGAAGTTTGAAATTGATTGAGATGTGCATGTATCATCATCAGATGGAGCTCATGTAACAAAAACTTGTGTGAAGCAAGCACAAAGGAATCAAACGAGGATAAAGAAAGTCGCATGGCAGCGAAGACGATCAATGCATAGAATTGGAAAGGAAAAAAGTAAAAGCGCGGAGCTCATTCTCTTTACTGGGCCTGATTAGAGGACTAGACCAGTGCGGACGTTAATTACACGAAAGTCTGATTGTGTTATGAGGATGACACGCGCCAAACCCGCCATGGAAATGAGGTCCATTCATAGTAAATTGGAAAGACTAACGCGGGCCGTGAGAAACACAGCGTCATTTGGTGCGCGATTATTGCGAGATAAAACGGACCGAGTGTAAGGTGGAGGAAATAAGCTTAGAAAAAGTCGAATGGCTCAATTACGGGATTGCCAAGGGATCGCGACTAGAATTTGATCGTTAATCTTCATATAAGATAGCTACTAGTGTGAAACACGTATTGTAGAGACAGGATATTTGCTCTAAAATGAAGAATTATTTTATAGAAGCTGAGTGCCGCAAATGGCTAGCGATTATTGGTTTCAAGGAGAATTCAACTTTTTATTTAGTCGACACAAATGATATAGTGCACTTGCGATGTCGACAACACCTGTGCGTAAAAAATAGCCGTGGGGCGCACACACCTGCAAATGGGTGCTCCTTATCCATTTTTTTACGCGCGAGTGTTATCAGCACGCACGTGCACTATACCTTAGCCGAGTAGTGAAACAGTTGTTAATTCAACGAATTCAGCTTTGTCCAAGCAGTCTTCTTGGTTTTACTAGTAGGCAATTTACAAAATTTTAGCATTTGATTGCGAGAGGACGTTGTTTCCATAAAGTAATAATCACACAGCATGATATCCTTGTGGAATTAGCAAGTAAACAAATTCTCTAATCACAATTACACACGATTTAGAAGCCCTTTGGTGACAGATCCCTATAGCATTATCACTCTTTTCACTTATGCAAAAGTATTCCGTATCAGAAACTGATGGTATGGTAATATACAGAAATTCGAAGTTTGCACACGCACAATGTAGTCACTACATTGCTTGAAGACCCAAATGCACGTGTCCCATCTGAGCGTTAGGATGAAAGTGATTTTTCATAGACAGTATTAGCTTGATATGAGAACTCGCACTGCAAATAAGAGACCGGAAAACGAATGAATTTCATGGCTACCTTTCTGGCAAGCGCGCTAGCGGTAGAGGCGTTGGGTCCCATAGCGCCAGCCTGTGGCACGTCGCAGTGATTGCGCACAATTTCATTGGTGTTCATTTTTACTTTTAACTGTTGGACTCTCAAAGGAAATAGGAGAACTAATGGTCAGGGTACTTGTTCATATTCCTTGTGACAGCCGCTCACGCGTACTGGTATAATACAAGGGGCCATGAGATATCAAAGTTCAGGGCCTACTTCTGCGACAAAAGGCTGAATAGAGAGTTTATTTGCAGAAAATGAAGAAGATATCAATAGCTGTTTGGGTGGGAGACATAATTCATAGTGGAAATGACAGACTTGCAGGTGGAAACTTGTCTACACATACAGTAGAACACTGACCGGTGCGAACACGTTTGTCTACCTGAAAAGCAGTATCATTTCCGAACAGCGCAGCTGCGTGTTGGTAATTGTAGATGTAAGTTATAGCTTTAATTTTCGATTAGCCTTTGTTCTTATATAGGAATGTTTTTTGTTCAATTATCAGCTGAACCCCTTTGTTCTCAACACGTTGGTGTCTTGGAATTTGTTGTAATGTTGTGTTGAAGAATCTTACAAACGTCATTTGCAAGGCATCATTTCTGTGAAGTTTCAAGATTGTCGATTACTTTTGATTCCAGTTGCGATAGGAGAACACCTTCGAAGTGATCTTGGCGGCATTAGAAGGCAAAAACTATCCGATAATACTGCTGTTGTTGGAGGCATTCACTGGTGAGATTCACTTTTTACTTCTTCACAAAAATATTGATTTTATCACTTTTCACAGTTGAAATATATGTTTTCTATTGATGAGCGAGCGAGATCCTCTTTTACGATCAGCCGTCTGACGGAATTTATTCGACGGCAATGCCTCAGCAGTATGGAATGCTAACATTGTCAGCAGAATTTTGTTGTTTAGTGCAAGCCGCTGCATAGGACATAAGCGCTATAGACATTATTCTTCAGTAGTGTTTCTACACCTGGATACTAACAGTTTTCATTTATTAGGCCAATCTCATGATTTTCATTTTTATTTTTGATCGCAATAGCCATATTCTTCTTGTATCATATCTAAGCATCGACATAATGTTCGATAGAGCAAAGCAACCTCTATATGACTGCATTCGTGCGTACGCGTTAAATCTGAAGTTTGAAGCCAGAATCTTAGCAGTTCCACTGCCCGTAAAATCAAAAAATAATCGCATCTTCGTCTGAGGAATAGACTCGCAGTTTGCGCATGCGTATACTCTCCACGTCAGACATCCATAGGCCCTGGATATACCTCTCGCGATTTCAGGCCACCGGGTCTGGCCATTTTCCAGATCTATTCAAACCCAATACTCACAAACCACAAATGATTGGTGTGTTTAACTTTTGTAAGTCGATAGAATATGCTATTTTCCGTGTGCTCAAATTGACTTTGCGACGAGTAATAAGCAACTGGAGTATTGCCAAGTCGCGTCGCGAGTGAAATCGCGTAAGGTATGCCTGAGGCCATACGCACAGTCACTGTATTTTTTTGTCTAGCAGCTGAGAAAGTGAAAAATTTCATGTTTTTGCTAAAGTATAGTGCTGGGCTGCTAAACATAGGTATCTCTGTACTACACGCCTGCAAAAATTTGCACATCATTTTAGTTTTTACGAGCGCGAGTGAGAAATGTATAATTTTACATAAACAATTCTGAAAGGGTAAGCTAAAACTGTCATTTCCTGCAGACTAGCGCTTGTAGAAGGCTAAAAATATATGTTAGTACTTGCTTATGTTTGTATTATAGAGTCGTCTATGTTTGATTAGCAGATCATTGCTTGGGCAAAAACAATGCTTTATTTCCTCACTTGCTAGTCATGGAAACAATGCAGTAATGTAGTGTGAAAGTCTGATATGGAGAATACATGCATGACGAAGTTGGAACTCCGTGAGCTTTTTTTAGACGGAAATCATTTTTGATGCAGCAAATATAGAGCTTACTTTTTGCTTTATCGGATGCTATATCGATGCCTAAATATGACAAAAAATATGACTTAGTGCGCTCAGAGATCGAAAATGATAATCATTATGATACAGCTTAAGATACAGTCTATATGCATCTTTTTTCTTCGCAGGGTCAAATTTCGAATCTGTCTTTATTTTGCCCTATCGATTCGCCTGCGAAAAAATCTAGACCATGGACGAGATATTCCCTTTCATAATAGCCTCGATGGTCATTGAACTTCCTATGTTCCGGGGTAGCAGTATTCAATGTTACAATACACAATGGCCTTTGACTCTCTTTAGCGCAAGCGCTGTCACTATGCTGAAAAGAGTTTTGATAGTAGTTCTGTCAGACTTTTGGCACTACGGACTTCGAATTCTTGCCCAATTATCAATTCTTTGCGTAAATAATAAGGATGCATTCGATGAAGTAGTATGCAATTCGAATCCGAAATCATTCATGGAAGGTAACGCACTCTAATGCCACCGACGCGGCGCAACCGCTGTCGGCATATATTTCATTTTTTTCATTTGGTTTGACTTAGTGATGTTTACCGTTATAATCCTCTATTCTCGTAGTTTCATGGTTTGTTGGTTTGCATCTATTTTCACAATTATATTCAATATGAAGTTCATGAAGTTTCTAGGGTTTGAACGCTTCTTTTACTGCAATATTTCGAATTTTTCTCAGTTTATGCTACTTTTCTATGAAGGTAAATATTGAAGTAAATCAGTTTTGTGGACCGATAGGTAAACCTGAGTGTGTCATGTACTGTGTTTGCGATGAAAGAACAAAAAAAGCTATTTACGTCCATTGTTTTTCCGAATGGGGAACCGGTTTCCGATGCGTGGTCGGTTTATAGCTGTATTTGCTGCAAAATGTGTCAGATTGAGAGGAGATGTTGATGCTAGCAGTCAGAATTCGCGCGATTTTTTTAGGGAGGTGTAACTGATTTCTAAAGATCACTTATGCTAATGGAATCGACTATGAAGTTCATATGTGACGGCTCATGATCCCATATTGCTTCTATTTCAGAAATGGGTAACATACTGAGGAGGAAAAAGAAAGAGGTTACGGAAGAGCTTGAGTCGCTGTCTCAGCAGATGAAGATTTTTCGAGATGATATAGAAAAAACTGCAGAGGTATGTCTCATTACTGTAGACGAAAGATGTCCAGATAATTTGAACATTTCAAAATTTTATTCCTTTATATTTTTTGTATTTTTTTTTCATGCTATGTCAGTCTTAGTTCATCAAGCCATACACATAGTACTGCCCTTCGTCAATACTTCTTTAAATATTACACAATAAACAGCTGGTAGTCAATTCATCCGAAACAGCGGGCCACCGGAAATGCACTTTGCTTTTAACACACTTCGTTGCGTTCTGCAAGTCCATCCACAGCCGATTCCGCGAATCATCTGTTATATGATTGAAGCATGTTAAACTAAGGCGAAGGGACTCTTCAGTAAGGTTATAGATTGATTATGAGAAGGAACTACGCAATATGATCAATCTCTTAGTCTGACCTTTTTGGTACTATGACTTTTTGAGGCGCTGTTTGATACGGGCTCAACATAATCTCTTTGTGGTTAATTTTTATATGCGGTTTTTTTCTGGGAGCCAACAATCGCACACGAGAACACGATATCGTTCACTGAGTGCAGATAGTGCGAACGTGGGCGACCCAATTCTGAGGCAGTGAGAAGATCTAAAAATCGTGTTAGTACAGAGGAGGTTACACGAAAAACTGTGGTGTCTGAACAGTTTAGCTAAAGCGCTAAACTGCTATGCATTTCAAGACCCACGCAGAAGATATTCCAAGGTTTTTTCTTTGAGAATGTATCAAACCTTCAACCTGTTGCACTTGTTCTTTCCTTGAATTTTTGACTTATAGGCCAAGCGCATGATCCTCTGGTATCTCACATTGTCGACATTCTTCCTTTCGTCATCTTTTATCGGATATGCATGTGTTACAATAAAGCGAAAGGAACATCAAGTGAGGTTACTTCTCTGTTTAGTTTCCACATCATTTTGATGGTACTAACCTATCAGTAATCCAGGTGCTCTTCTCCATACTGGCCTTCGTTGCTGGCCTTGTGGTATTGTGGTTGGGAAGAAAAGCGGCGAATGCGTTCTACAACTGGAGAATCCATCGAAAACGGCAGGTAGCTGAGCAATCGTTGCAATGAAAATTTCTTTTCTTTTTGTTGTTTGTGGTGCTTTTTTGAGAATTTTGGTATCTAATAATCTTTGTGTAGAAAGTGCAACTACGAGAGTTTGTCAAAAAAAAACTTGTTTTTGTGGGCTTACGCGCACCATGTATTATGCCTGTTTATTCATTACCGATGAAAGCCGCCACTTAACTACATATGTAGATGCCAGAAGTAGATCAACATACATATTAGCTACAAATCTTGTATGCTCTACAGCAAAGCCTGTATTAGTTGGCTCATCATGCACGCTTATTTTCTGTTTCTCATCCCAGTTGTTCAGCACTTATTTACAGGGACTTGATGGACTGGTCGCTCGCAAGAGGTCTATTCTCGAAACGGTGAAGGAAACAGAAACGTTCAAGGTACACATTTTTTCTAAATTCTGCCACACGCCGACCTAGTTAAGAGATTGACAGTACACGGCGACCCTGCGGCGACGTCACATCGCGCGGAAACAGATGCTGTACTTTTGAATGCCCGCAATTTGTATGTGACTGCCAGAAGTGGAGTGAACTCTATATCTTACGCTTATCATCAGAAACATCGCCTTCCACTGTTAAATGTCAGAGTCTATAGATATCGCCTTGAGCTTATATTCACATCTATCTCTATGCACAGTTCGATACTCTCTTGCTACGCTTCTCATTTTCAAGGTTGCCAAGGAAATCCTAGACAAGTATGATCAGGAAAGTCCGAAATCATTGTCACAGCCACCGAGCCCTGCGACTGAAAAACGAATGGCTGAAACTCGAGGTGGTAGTATTCAAGATTAGTTCTTTTACAGTGTTCATGTTCTCATTTAGGCCAGAGAGCTGATCAGATTCAGGCGCAGATGAATGCAAGCCCATTGAAAGAGCCAAATCGTCCTCCCGAAAGGAATTCGCGCACAAAAAGCGTCGAAAACATCCCAGTTTCTGAGGTATTAGCTCACACACCCACTTCAGCCGTTTTTTTTCTTTTTTTCTCTTTTTGTGCTCATTTTGTAGAGCCCTACATTGTAGTTTTTTAATTTGCGTTTTTATTTCCATTAAAGGAATTCTTTTGCTCTTTGCTTGGATAGTTCATCCTATGATGAGAAAACAGTCTCACATTGTTTCAGATTGGTCCAAGGCCCCTGCCTCTCCCTCCGCGACCACGGCTCAAACCCATTCGTCCTTTCCAGAGGGAAGGTACCACCGTTGTTGATAAAATGGTCGACTACTTCTTCGGAGATGGACCCAGCCAAAGGTAAGCTCAAGATTGGTTTTTTTCCAAGATGCTTCCATCATGTTTCATATTAGGCTTGCTCTGATTTGCTCGAATTGCCATGGTCATAACGGTATGGCTCTTCCAGCTGAGTATGACTATCTTGCCTTCGTATGCTTTATCTGTGGACATTTCAATCCTGCCAAAAAATTCAGGTATGTGACAGGTGCAACTTGTTTTTGATGGTCCATCAATGAAGATAATTTACAGGCCAAGTCATCATGCATTAACACCTGCCCCTACTCCTCCCAAAAGCATGAAATCTAATGCTTCTGTGAGTAATTTCGACAAAATTTCTATCTATGCGCGCTGAGATGTTATTTCTAAGCTCTAGTAGCTCAGTTGGTACCCCATTAGTATGATGTCGAAGGTGATTTACGTCACAGGGATTTGAAAAGACACTGTGTGGTACCATTTTGTAATGCTTTTCGAACTTTCAAGGTTATTACACTGAAATTCGAAAACAACGGAGCGCTATCTAGTTTTTTGGGGGTAATTTTGAGTTTTGAAAACTCGTCTGGTAACTGCAGGCGAGGCAGTGACTTCAGCCACGTCCGAACGTTGCAGAAACTCTTGTAAGATTCAAGTGCCTTCTTAGTACAATACACCCATAAGATCATTTTCGAAGTTCGCCTGATCGTTTCGATTTTCCTCCTGCTCTACCACTGTCAGCGTACATGAACACACAGAAACTCAGCGTCATATCAAGCTGATCTAAAGGTTCTTTCGATTAGGTTGTCTCAAAAGTAAACTCTTTTTGAATAATCTAAGCTATTTTTGTTTTCCTAGTAGAACTGGAGTAGAGCATTCGATAGAGAACATTAAGCTCCACAAAATAACCACCAGGGATCCGCCCTAGTCGCACAAGTAAAGTTTGAAGCCACTATCGAAAAAAGTCTCATCACCTCAAAATTGAATTTTTACGAGGAGAAATCCTACGGCTCCAACATGATCATTATGCAGTAGGCACATAGCAGTGGCGTACCGAGGGGAGGGGGCGGGGGGGGGGGGGCGCGCCCCCCTCCCCGAGAATGGGTCGCGAAATTTTTGAAAGTTACTTACATGAGTTATAAAAATGTGCAAAAGACTTATTTATACTTGTAAGTAATTAAAATAATTTTTAAAAATCTTTAAAAATTCAGTTTAGCCTTATGAAAAAAATTTTTTTAGGGGGCGTGGCTGACGCCACGCCCCCTTTTTCTGAAATTTCGGGGTCCTGAGTCCCCGAAAATTTCAGGAAGCATACCAAAAATTTTTCGGAGTGCGTGGCTGACGCCACGCACCTTCATCGAAAAAATTTTTTTGTCGCCCCCGCCCCCCCCCCCCCCGAGCCGAAATCCTGGGTACGCCACTGGCACATAGTGGTACTCAGATATGCTTATTGGATTTCTTCTGCTCATAAAAAGCGAGAAAATAGAGATAGTCCAAAAATGTCAAACTCCGCCCTCAGCTCTTTCTAATATGTCATTGTATACTACAAGCCTTGCTGAGTATAATCTTAAAACTTTACCCCTGTTTATGCTCTACCCCTGTTTATGCTCTTATAATCGAGAAATGATAACTTTTACATGATCGCAGAATAGCAGATTTTTCAACGAAATCTAAGCCATGACCCACCATGTGGGTCACATTGTCCCAGGTGGCAAACATCGCATGACCCACCATGTGGTTCACGTTGTCGTCAACGTGTTAATTTTGGTTATTTTTCAAAGTTTCCATTTTAGGCTTTTGGAAGAGTTTTGATAACATTCGGAGGACTAAACAGATTGCAACACAATTAATTTTTTGGGCATGTTCAACTGGCTTCTCAGAATACTTAAATTGAATGCTTTTACTTCCGCTGAATCGTAAAATACGCAAAAGTCCCAAACATTGATAAATCTTTGGAACTAGACACTTTCAAAAATTGAATATGATCAAACAGTAATTTAACAAGCCAAATGAGTGTTTGACGCTTCAAGATGGATTTCGAATTTTTCGTGTACAGCATGAGACGCGTTTAAAAACAAGAGCTTGAATCAATTCATACTTGAAGCTTTCAAGAATCAGAAAGATGAACTCCGGTTAGAAAGAGGAGAAAAAGCTGCATATAATGAAACACTTCCTCCCAGATTACTGTAGTACGCACCTTACAGTTGCTTCTTCGACTTAAGTTGTGTGCGTTTGGCGCATGCCCCAGAGGGTATTGAAGATGCCGAATCCTTTATCCTTTATCCTATTGACACAGTAGTGTTCCGACTATGTTCTGTGAGATTTGGGATGCCCAAATATGTATGAAATCTGATAGCATCAAAATTTTTTTTTGGAAATTTTGTAAAGCAAGTCATAGATGCCAGGAACGTAGCATTGAATTGCACTTAACTTATTATATCAAAATCTTATTAAAGGTTTTTCAAAGGTCTGGAATGGAAATTATAAAAAATAGCGAAAGGGTAGTGAAAACTGTGAATTAAAGACCCCGAATATTGTTCGAGGGATCATCAAAGGAGTCGGAACGAAAACATCACTGCTAAAAAAGATTAAGGTTTCTGCATTGAACACTGTTTAGAGCGTTTCGCTAATCTGAGTGATTTCAGGAAAAGGTTTGAAGAACGACACGAATTTTCGGACCGACCTAATATAGATCTCAAAAAAATGTGAACACTGTTTGATTGCTAACAACTTAGAATCCTTGTCGAAGTCCTCACTGTTATCCTGCAGCAGAAAAGAGAGATTAGAAATTTGCTCCATACTGTACCAGGGGACGGGGGTTGCACTATAAAAATGTGCAAGCGAATTATTTATGCCTGTAAATAAGTGAAATAATTCTTGAAATCTCTTATAATAAAGTAGTCTTGTAAAGTTTTTTCGGGGGCCTTGCTTGCTGCGGGCTGCAAAAATTTCAAGGAGTCTCCGAAAGAATTTTTCGGTGTACGTGCCTAACCCCATGCACCTTCTTTCGAAAAAAAAGTTTTTGTCAGAAATCCTGGAACCGCCACTGCTCTCCTGTATTCTAGGCTTCGCACCATTTGATGTTAAGACAGTTGCAAAACTTTGATCCACGCGAAGCTTGGAACCAAAAATAGGGAAAAAATTCAAATGCCCGAAAATGGAAAAGGATTTGGAAATATTACATTCCTGCATACGGTTCCCGTACTTCTTCTCGTCTGAAAATCCAGAAAATCAAAAGATGTTGCCAAAGCATTGCTGAGCTGTTTTGACACTATAAAATTATACTACAAGATTCTAGAACCACAACCTTTTTGGCAGTTCAGATGACTAATTTTTGAGAAATATCAAACTTGCCAAAATAAACTCCAATAAAGAAGGTTAGATTGGATAATCATCGGAGATAGCTTTCGCGGAAGGATGAATGTTCAAGGTCGTTATATGAAGGTTTGTGCTATGCAGCTATTAGTACGAAAATATCTCTGCATTGCTATGGCAAAAACATGAAATCTTCGTTTTCTCGATTTCTAACCGAACCGATCAAAGCTGGTGCAATTTTCAATTCTATCTATAGAGCTTACATTGCTCTATCAAATGTTACACCCGAGCGTATCTGGAATACAGGAGAGTGACCTGAAGTTACTTTGGTGCAATAGTTAAGCATCACCCTAATAACAAGAATTGATCTTATTTTCGGACTACCCAGTATTCAAAATAGGAGAGTGGGTACCAGTTTTTTGTTTGTGAGCCTAAGCCCCGATATACAAGTGCCTTCGTAGAAGTTCCTTGTGATGCTTACTTTATTGTTGTTAAGTTCTCATTTCAGAATCCCCGATCATCGTCAAGCTCTCCAGTACAACCCAGTAACAATAAGGAAGCTGAAGAAAAGGATCGCAAGGTACATATGAGTTTTTTCTCAAACGGTTTAGTGCTGACTGCAATTGTAGTCCTCACGAACATAAGTTAAAAAGTGTTGAAAAGGCTTTACATTTTGAATTGCTCCCCTCATAGCGTCGTCATAGTTGATTTTGATTGATTTCTTTCTACTCTGGAATGTTGTCAGAGACGCTGTATATTGCAAACAGTTTCGATCTGTATAGTTGCGCACTAGTGTCTTCTTAAACTTGAATTGTTTCAGTAAAAAAAAAACGGTTTTTTATCGCATAATTTTGCTCCGAATTTGGCTAATTAGGTTGGAAGGAAAAGAATGTCGTTTTTATTTCCTTGTCATGGCATCGCAACAAGGCAAGCCCCAAATACGCGTATGGGTACCGTTCGATAGAGCAAAGAGCTCTACAAAATGGCATCACCTCTTTGCACCACGTTTGATCGAACTTCGAAGGCGGAATCTAAGAAGTCTTAATTAACCGAAAATCAGAAAAATTTGTATCTCCGTCCAAAAAATTTCTACGGATCCTCAACTTGCTTACGGACATGCATCCCTAATCAAACATTCATATGCGCGATTGCTGTAATTTCCTTGGCTAGACAAAAATTAAAAATTTTTGTGCTCATGCCAAAGTGATGCTGGGCTGTTCCCGCGTAGGAAATTCTACACTAATTAGCGTGGGAAGTGCAACCGTAGATTTTCAGCCGTTCACGATCGTTAATTCTCGCGTATCGAGTTTGATTAATAGAACAGAAGGAAAACGCTAAATTCATTTTTTTTCGAGTACTAACTCCTGTAGAAGACTGAAAATCTACAGTTGCACTTCCCAAGTAAGTAGTATAGAATTACCTACGCGATGTTTGTCCGTGGGAAAGCTGGGAGTTCGCAGAAATTTCATGGACGGAGATACAATCTTTTGATTTTACGGTCATTTGAAACTTTTTAGACTCCGTCTTGGAACTTCACGTTATAACTTGGTGCAAAACCAGTAATTTTCGTGCCTGCTTTGCTCTGTTGAATGGCATCCCATAAACCTCACTGTTGCCTTTTTTGCGATGCCCTGAAAAGTGAATAAAATGCGACTTCATTTCTTTTCAACTTAATATTATCAATGATTCCAGTTGCGCATTTGGTTTTTTGTTTGTAACAAGAACTGTGTTCACAACTTTTTGCTCTTCGTATAATTATTATTTTTGAGATTTCATCTCCAGTTAAGACTCCTGATTTATACTTGTCTTTTTTAGGAGCATCCACTTGACGATATGCAAGAGGAACAAGAACTGCTCAAACCTTTATCTCACTAGCTTGTAAACATTTAGCTCTGTTGAATGTAGCTTGATGCAATGTAATGCTTTTTACCGGTTCCATCGCTTCCTCTTTATGATATTGACCCTGTAAATATGTCTTCGTTGTTTCCGCTTTAGTGTATGGAATCGATGCCTGATTGAGACACGGGATTGCCATGTTTTTTGATTGACTTTTTTAAATCAGTACCTGCTTGTAAACAAAGTAATTTTGATGAAATTTCTATGATTAAATTTTATTCAGTATTTTTTTGATTGTATTTTTGGAGGTGGGGCAGCAACTTTAGAGTCACCTAAAGCCATTCCATTCGCGCAATGAGAGGAAATTCAAAAATATCGCAGATCATTTAATCAATGGCATAACAGTTAATAAAAGTTGAATTGTATTCCTTACGAGCTGGCATACGCTACGCCAGGTCCTGTTAAAAGCCCTATACAATCTTTTTCTGTGCCCAAGTCTGCATGCCAATTCCGTTTCCCCTTTTGTTTTGTTTTCGTAATCAGAGTGCCCACCTATCTTCCGCCCCCCCCCAACTCCAAGCCCCGTAGCTCAAAATTTGCAACAAAATCGATAAAACTGAGAAGAATGGTAATTCTAATATACAACGAGTCGTTAATTCAAAAATCTGCAAATAGCGGGAAACCGCGTGGCGGTCCCGAAGCGAACGCTCCTCCAAATAGCACCTTTAGATTGCTGGTTCGCTAATAAATCTAAAAACTAATATTGTATTCGTAATCAGCATGCTCACATACCCCCTTTGCCAACTCCCAGTATCTCAAACATTGCAAAAAATCGATAAGATCGATATTGACCGACAACGAAAAGCCACCTCGCCTCGGTAGTGTGTGTGCAAAAATTGGTCCGGATCCTTTCAAAAATGGAATTCTCTATTCGGAACGTGCATACATACATACAGACACACATGTAGCTTATATATAAGAAATCTGTGAAACATCACGACTTCTGAAGGGTCTCACTACGTGCTGGCCATTATTATAATTCGCTTTGGAATTTCATTGATGCTGCCTGGAGATTTGGTATTTTGCTTCGTGCTTCCTCAAGGTGCGTTCGCTTAAGTAATAACTAGCTGCCTTCCTGTTCTTGCTCTAAACGCCCGCAATACCCTTTGCCAAGCTGTCTGTCTTAGGGCCGCATGCACTAACATCCCCGCGGGGAGGGGATCGCAGCTTGAAAGAAAGCTTTATATTTCGAAACTCCAGATACCTGGATTTCACGTTGTGTACCTATCCGTCAGTATTCCTACTACCCTTCACTATAAACATGTTGAAGAGGAGCGAGAAGCTGTACGAACCGCATTTTCCAGCTTTTGTGTGATCCCTGATGATCCCCGGCGCTTTTCTCTAAAGTCATTTTTCTTTCTCCGAAGTTAACGAAAAACCTCCAAAGTTGTGCAAATTATCTAACCCGACAGTGCTAAGCATGTTGCTGATAAGAACAAATGATGTTTTGAAGTCATGAAATTTTCGATGATCCACAGGTCGAAATTTGAGGTTTACCGAAAGAATCGACTTTTCAAAAACTCATTTGTTCTTATCAGCAACATGCTTAGCACTGATGTTTTAGATGTTCAGTACAACTTTGGAAGGTTTTCGTTAACTTCGGAGAAAGAAAATGACTTTAGAGAAAAGCGCCGGGGATCATCAGGGATCATACGAAAGCTGGAAAATGCGGTTCGTAGAGCTTCTCGCTCCTGTTCAACATGTTCATAATGAAGGGTAGTAGGAATACTTACGGATAGGTACACAACGTGAAATCCAGGTATCTGGAATTTCGAAATATAAAGCTTTCTTTTAAGCTGCGATCCCCTCCCCAGCGGGGAGGTTAGTGCATGCGGCCTTTAGGCCCGTGGACAAAGGCAATACCGGGGAGGGGATCCTCTGGAAGTAGGGGAAGGGAGCCCACTTATGCAGAAGGGGGGATCGAGCGGGGAAATCATTTCGCTTCCGCTTTTTGTGGTAACAACTCCTCTTTTCTCATCTTTTGGTAGCTACTCGCCTCCAGCATTCATCGGCAGTATTTTAGTCGTTGCGGAATGCCATCGCCCGTGATTGCGCTCGGCGCCAAAAAAAAGTTCCTACGCACAATATATTTTTGCTGTTTCCAAGGATGTTGCTCACTTTCGCTTGCTGCACATTTCAGCGTAAACGTGTCCAAAATCAGAAGTCATGATGTCTCTACGGTGAATGAGTAGAATATGTTATGCTGCCGAAAAGGGGGGGGAGGGCGCCGCAGACATTCAAACTAGAATTTCCACACATAAAAGAAATTGCATATCGTACTAGCTTTTCATGGAAGCTGTAGCTATTAGCGACATGCCGTCCATTCCTCCAAGGGAATGATCTCCAACTGGAATGGCCATCCCTGCTATGCACGAGGGGAATGCTGGGGAAGGGATCACTCCCCAGGGGATCACTACTCAGAATTATGCAAATCTGCTATTTTCTAGATTTTTTCAAGGCAGCTTATGTTAAATTAACAAGGTAGGAGTAATATATCATGTAATACGATAATTACAATGTATCTGATCAGCTTATCTGGCTAAAACTATTATGTCATTTGAAAAATGCGCAAATTTCACAGCTATTATTGCTTGGATTTCTTTTCATGAGAGGAATTTAGAAGAGAGACAAGATTGCAAGGTACAGGTTGCTGAGAGGGGAATCCGGCTTTCAAAGGAAATCTTTCATCAAATTGAACGAATTGCTGGGTAATGGTTGATTAAAACCAGAATATTCGCTTCTCTGGCATGAGCTACACCATTGAACCCCTACTCCGTTGCAAGGGATGTCGATCCCCTCCCCCGCGCTGTTGAGCTACATTCGTGCATACGGGGAGGGGAGGGGAAGTGATCCCCACCAGGGTCCGCCGCCCGATCGATATTCCTGAAATCAAATACCGAATTTGTTGCAGCGAAAGAGTACCGCAAAGAAATGGCTAACAAGCGTTGGAAAAAAAACACAGAAACTAAAAAACTGCACACTTATGAATTCTTCTATGAGAAAAGTAAGCCATAACATAATTGCGAAACTGCTAAATAGAATCACAGCACTTCAGAAATCAACATTATACTACGACAGCACGTAACAAGTATAAGAAACCCTTTAAACCAGTAATGGGGAAAAGAAGAAGACAGCGATGAGGGGAGCTACAATGGGAAGGGTGAAAGGAGAAGAAAAAAAGAAGACTGAGAAAAGGAACAAAGGCATTCGAAATCACTATTTTTGTTTAACTCATCCCAAAAGCCATTTAGCACACAAAAAATGGCTGAAAATAGCTTTTTTGGCGAGATGTTCAGGTAGCCGCGAGCTAGATGCGACTACCGCAATGACACCCTCCCCGCTGTGGGTGCAGGGGAGGGGATAGCTCCCCTCCCCTCTGGCATAGCGGGGTTCAATAAAGGGGATCGCTCCCTGGAGATCCAGCTCCTCTCCCCTCCCCAGCGGGGATGTACGTGCATACGGGCCTTAGTTAGGAAAAGCTTTCTTAACTGTGGTGTCGCAAGAGTGGGTGCCGTTGTCAACACTTTTTCCAAATTGTTCGTAGTCCCACCACACTACGGTTTCAACCAGAGGGCGTTTTTTTGGTCATGCGGTGAGTGGTGCTGCAATGGCTGCGGAGTTGTGTAAACCTTTGCAGAAATGAGCACATTCTCCCCCCCCCCCCCCCGAGGGCTTGTCTTCTGCTTGACTTCTGTTAATAGGTAGGCTTAGAGGTGCGATGGGTGGAGCCGGGCCCCCAAGAGTGAACGTGATTTCAGCTACCACTGGCGGCAAAAATGAAGGTGGTAGTGCTGGACACTCACCTCCCAAGAACTTCGACCGGGGGGGGGGGGGAAGGGGGGAGATTTGAAGGCCGTCGACGGGAGCAGCACAACTCGACGTCACTTTCGCAAAAAAATTCCTTTCTCAAAAGGAATTCACAAGCTTCACAAGCTTTTCCACTGACTAATCAGAAGGAAAAAGAAAAATGAATTCAAAGGTTACTAAAAGTTTTCTTCTCACTCAATTTACTTTTAGAAACTCGCCGTCGCCTACTGCGAGCACCCCAAGGCCAACCTGGCATGGACGCATCTAAGCCACGGCACTTCTTACAAATTCGGAGAACAAAGCTTCTTGATGTGTTTCAAGAGCTCTCACCCAACGGTCCTCTTTATGGCCAATAACTGTGACCCAACGGCCCTCTTTAGCGCCACAAATACAATGAGTACAGCGGCATAAATATTTGAGATAAACGTGTTAATCAAATGGCGTATTTGTAAGTAAAACTCAGCTAAACTCTACGTATTTTATTAAGTAAATTTCGTTATAACGTACTGCGAAAAAAGTAGGTCGATCCAGGCAGTAACCGCCGACAACCAGAATTTCGAATAACAAAATAGCGAATAATCATGCGAAACTTCCACTGTTACAAATCTAGTGGTTGAAGAAGTCAGCAACTGCGTCTTTATAAGTTTCAAAGCGTAAGTCTTGTTCTACAAAATAGTGAAGGAGTCAGTTCGATTTGAGCAGTGGCCGCCGCGAACGAGAATTTCAAAAAAATTAAGCGAACTTAGGATGCTTAGTGACAGCTGATGTTTAGACTCCTATAAATCTGAAATGCGAAGATGTGCAATGTTGCTACTCCATAGATTTTGTAGAGTAAGGATTGCCCTATCAGAATATGTCTTAGCCGTACCGATCCATTGAGATACCGCCGAGATCCACGCTCTTAAAAAAAGAGGTAAAGAACCGCTTTGAATTTAAAAGCTCATAACTTTTTCAGAATTGCATGAATCATGTTGCGACTTCATAGGTTGGATTCTTCAAGAGCTTTCAGATGATATATAATAACCTTTGATTCAACTGGCTTGGCACCATTAGGGCGGGGATTTGTGATCTAATTGAGGCCACTCGCGCCCGCGACGCACCTGCGCCTCTCTTGCGCGAGTGCTCTCTGATCATTACCTAGCCTTAATTAGGTCACGAAGCCCCGCCTTTGCCGATGCCAAGCCAGTTGAATCAAATGGTATGTGGGGGTTTCGCGCCTCCCACGGCATATGCCCGGGGGTGGAGTCTTTTCATAACAAAGTCCCCACCTAGCCCATATCAATGTATTGGCTGGAGACCGCCGGTGGAGACTTTGTGATGAAAAGTCTCCACCTCCGGGCATATGCCGTGAGATGCGCGAAACCCCTTTTTCGCAGTACGTTGTAACAAAATTTACTTAATAAAATACGTAAAGTTCAGATAGTTTTACTTACAAATACGCCATTTGATTAAC